AACACAGGTTACAGGTAATGAGTAGGAAAGCCAGAATTTCAGACGGATTCCAGAGACCACCCTCCTGACCACTTGTGCCAACTCTCCTCTCCTGGGTCATCCTTTCCCTCTGCACTGTGTCCTTGCAGGCACTGCAGCCTTGATGCTGGGCCTTGTCCACTTGGAGCTGTAGACCGGCCTATTCCAGGTCCTTGTACCCCAGCAGTGCCCTTCTCAGAGCAGGATGCAGGGGCTGCTAAGTGAAAGATGCCCACAGGGCAGTTCTGTTCCAGGGACAGCACTGTCTCTGCAAGTCCCATTAAGGCCTGGACAACAAGTTTGGAAGACTTACTGTGAATTACTCCAAGTAGAAAATGAGAGAATATCCTTATAGGAAAATTGGATTTTCTTGTCTGCCCCTCTCCCTCCCTTTCAGTGTCTATTTTCCTGGAAAAGGTGCTCAGAAAGAGATATGCCTCCTTAGTAAGAGTTCTGAAAACTGTTCCTTAGTAATAAAAGCTAATTTTATATGTAGGAGTTTGATACAGGAGATCTAAAGATTGTTAGCGAAAGAGATCAGGGAAGAGCTAGCCAAGGATACTGGTTTGGTTTTTCTTTTTATATCAAAATGTTTTCTGTCGACAGGATTCTATCTTGGACATTAAAGTACCAATATTTAAAGGACCTGGAGAGATGCCCGAAATCCGATCGTACATGGAAGAGTTCCCATTCCCATTCTATATCATTCTTCGCGATGTGAATGCACTCCCCGAGACGCTCAGCGATGCTCTGAGACAGTGGTTTGAGTTGGTGGCAGCCTCCGACCACGCGTAGGGAAGGAACACAGTAAACCATGGTCAGACCGTGGCGCCTCGGGCCAGGTGCTCCCTCTTTTGGACAAGTGCTTCTGAACTCACAGCTCTAAAATGTTTTTATCTTAGATCTGATTTATAAAAATTCACCTAATAGCTACAGAAAGTTTTGTATTACAGTGTACATTTTAGTTTACAATGTGCTTTCAGAGCTAGAGAAAGCCTGGGGCTCCCGGCTTTGCCTGGGCTCCAGCTGTCACAAACCTAGGGCAGCGAAGGAACAGCAGTAGCAGGTGTCTGGTCTTGGAAGGCCCGGCCTATGAGGAGGCCTGGGCCCGGCTGCCTTTTCCCTTCACAGGAGCCCTGGACACCTACCTGGAGAAGCGGCTAGGAGAATAAGACTGTCCCAGGCCTTTGGACAAAGGACTAAAGGCAGCTGCCCTTTTGACCCTGCTTTAAGGCTCCACCTTGCCAAGCCCACAGTGTGTATCCATATGCTGTCGAGAGACTGAACAGCCGCTTTCTATAGTCCCAAGTGTGTGTTTTTTCATTGTGCTTCAGGTGACAGTAACTGCCTTCTCTTTGAGGATAGGAAGGTTGGGGTATATGTGGTCTTACAAAGCAACCAGATGTCATGGGAGCCCAGGTAATAGGAAAAATGACCACTGGATGGTATAAAAATGAAGTGGTTTTTCTGTGTCGCCCTTCACATTTGCTGCTTCAGGAGACTATGCAATGATGGAAAGCTGATTTTCCCTTTGGTTATTTCATTCTTTCTGTGCCACAGTCCCTGCTGTTGTTTTTTTTTTTTCCTTAACAATTAAGATGAAGAATCATTCCTCCACTGCTTTTAAGCTGGACTGAGCCAGTCCCATTCTGGAAAAGAAATGCTGTGTTTAGAAAATAAGCAGCTACATTTTTTTTTTCCCCAAAATACATCAATGGTTTTTAGACAGTTTTTACTTGGTCAGGAAGCACTGCGTGAATACTTGAAATTGTGTGCTGTGTTCTATTTAAGTTGTCAGAATGTTCTTTTGTAGACAACATGCCATGATGTAATTGTTTATCTCCACATCTGTTTTCAAGTTACACTGTGAAGTTTGCCACACTTTTGAGGTGGTCATCAAAGACACAGATTGCTTGTTAACCAAGTGTCCTAAAGCATGTACCTGAGGTTATATCATTTTTTATTCTAAAAAGCTATGCAGGTTATATTCTGAAGATTATTAAATATATACCGCTGTTGATAGAATTTGTGAGCATTCTTAATGGAACACGACAGGTGTATAAAAGGTATGCTAGGGGAACGATCTTGTCTGCTCCATCAGGCGGCTGTCCCTGGCTTATGCTGTGCTGCCAGGGCCTACACAGGGTCAGTGGCTTACTGCCATAAGGATTTCTCCTTTGTGTCTCACGTCCACGGTAGGTGAGCTGCCGCACGCTGGCCTGGCGGCAGAGGAAAGGGTAAGTTGGTGAAAAACACAATGACTTGTAAAGATTTTGCTCCAGATGACATGTTTGTTCCACTCATTTCGTTGGTCGTAGCCTCTGATGGGTCGGGTAGGGAAAGACACCACCATTCTGACCAGGATGGGATCGATCACCTACTTCTGAAATTGTACTATGTAAGCTGGAGCTTCCCAGCTGGTACCCCAAAATCCCCTTTTCAGCTTGTGCTGTGATGGGAAAAGGGTTGGGAAGCATGGAAGCAGTCCCAGGAGACCTCGGAGGAACTGTGCTAGGGGTGGGCACACCTGAATCACGAACGGAGTCACTGAGGGTAGGCTTGCTCTCCTTTGGAGCTCAAACTCCAGAGCTGGCTTACTTTCTTATCTTCATCCAAACACCAATCTTGTCCGGTCTTTTAGACATTTATTTTATCCTGTCTTCCCTTCCGCTCTGCTTGTGCTGCAGCTGGAGCGTTTTTAATCTGTAGTCTGGGCTGCTTTGGTGGTATCCTAGACAAGTCACTTTAGAGCTCCCTCTTGTGAAGAGATCCCTATGGTGAAGAAGGTATTACTCTCCTGTCCTTTCTCTCCCAGAATCCCCACACCACTAGCTGATCTGGTCACAGCAAACCAGAGGTCCTAGAATATACCAGTGTTCTATATGTTCTTTGGAATTTTCTTACCTAATGTGCCCTTCTGGAAACACCTACCTAGTAGATAAGCCCTCAGGTATGTTTCCCTGTCTTAGGTCTTCCTGCCCAAAGTGGGAGCCTGACTCATGACCGTACTACTGTGTCTAACATGAGTGAATGTTTCTGGATGGGAAGAACCAGTATAAAAATCTATAAATTAATGTGAGAAGACAACACTATCAATTTTAATAAAGATCTTACGATGATTTGGAGGGAAAGGATACAAAAGATTCTCAAGAAACTGTAGGGTGTTAGTCCTGCCAAATAATAAAATGTACTAGTCTTACATAAAATAATCCTGAACAATTTGTTCAGACACTAAAAAAATTTACCATATGGGCATCAAAGCCCAAGAAGGATTTAATGGTGTCAAAATTATAGTTTAGCAATTGGAAAAAAGATAGACATCCACATCAAGCCATAAAGCAAACTAGGTGGAGTAAATACTTAAAGTTAACAATGAAGACATAATGTAGAATTGCAAAGCTCTAAAGGGGAGAAAATGAAATTGAAAAGCCTCAAAAGAAAAATACATGACTATACAGAGACTTCTTAAAGTTATATAAACAAATTTTTTAAAGAACAGGCAAACAAGCCATATAAATTTACTGTAAAAACCTTGATCGCCATAAATGGACCAGTCATGACAATTCATAAAATAAGTGGCAAGGGATATCTCACTAATTTTTATAAGAAAATGAATTGCTATTGCCAATTAGACAAAACTTCAAAAAGTAGTCATAGCATCACCCATACAATGCCTGGTAATGTTCAAGAAAGTTAGGCATTGGAGTGTATGTGGCAGGTCCTGTTTTCAGTGCATCACATACAATGCAACTCTGAGGTAGATCCTGTTCCACTTTACAGATGAGGAAGGAGGCCAGGAGAGATGAAGTTACCAAAAGAGCACAGTTAGGAAGAGGGAGCACCAAAGGATTCCAGCAAGTGAGGCAATCAGGTAAATGCGCAGTAAATGGGTAACCAAATGAACATTTTTGACTGTATTTTAATTCAGAACCATTCTATTTGACAAAATATAGCGAAGATTCACCAACACTACTTGCATAACTTAAGGGCACGTGTGTGTTGGGAAGATAAAACAATTAGGAAATAAAAGCTTAAGTTGTGGGGACATTCAGTTCCTCATTCTTAGTGATACAAAATTGTTACAACTCCAATGGAGCGGCCATTTAAAACGTCGTTAAGAATTAATGTGTGAAAATTAATAAAGGGAGACTTCACTGAAGTAGAGTCGGGAGGCTGGGAAGGAAAGCTGGGCCACTCGATGTCACTCCCAGGAAGAATGGTCAATGACAGACTCCAACAGAAGATCAGCAGGAAAGATCATCAATTACAGGATCCGAGCGGGGGGGGGGGGGGGGATGGGCGAGGCGCAGTTTGCAAGAAATCAACTACCCTTGCAACTCCGTGAGAAGTCTTGCTTTTTCCCAGTGGGCTTTTCATAAACCCTCTCAACTTCCATCTCCGTAAAATAAGTTCCTCTCCTTTATTGGGCTTGCCTGCAGTTTTGCCATAGCTTGCATGTCCCCAAATGCAATTCTCTATTCCCAAATAGACCCGCTTTTGCTGGTAAAATAACCTTACATTTAAGATGAACTAACGGCAACCATGGAAGATGCCACCACAGGGAAAATGGTTGCAAACAGGAAAGACCAGGATGAAAACAAAACATCAACAGGACACAAACATTAAAATTAAACATTTAAATTTTTATTTCTAACTACACATTTAAAAAGCCAACAGGAACACACAAATAATTTCACCCCTCACTCCCAAAGCTAACCACACTGCCAGGAACTGTGCCCGTTGCCTTACCACTCCTATTATCGCAGCTATTTGCGACGCAAGAACTGCTATCCCCTCGCACCCCCAAGAAAATGTATTCTAGGATAAAACTGCCCAAGGCTTTTTAGCTCATTACCAGTTCCAACCGCTTCAGTTCAGCCGGACTGCGGGGGGATTTGGCGGCCGAGTGTAAGGCGCGAACCGTCTCCCAGGAAACCCGGCTCGCCCTGCCCCCTGGTTACGCCCCCACTTCCGCTCCTGCGCACTGGAGCTCGGGGGGGGGGGACCGAGGCTACCTGAAGGAAATGGCCACTTCCCGCTTACCACCGGCGACGCTAACGCTAAAGCAGGTAGCGCCGTTTTCGCCAGCCTTTCCAGGATCTGATCTCGATTATCCATCTCTCCCTCCAGCCCACCCTGCGGAGTGGGTCGCGGGGGCGGGACTTCGTGATGCGGAAGCCGGCGGTGGGGGTGGGGAGGAGGGTCGGGGAGGAGGGGGCTGCCCTCTGGCCCCGGGTTCGTGAGGCGGGCGGGCTGTGGGTCTCGGAGCTTTAATGCCTTGGCCACGGTGAAGACTGTTACGTCTGTCGTCCTGAGCTATGGTAAAGAGTGGGATTGCCTGCATTGGTTTTAGAAAAAAGTGCTGTTACTGTAGTTACAGCCGCTAGTAGCTGGTAGTTCTTTTTCTGCTCATTGGTTATCTTTCGATGTTAAGGGTTTCTTAGGTTTGACAAAGGAGTAAGCAAACCGCCCAAATACACTTTTTGCCTTTTTCTTAAAAGAGAAGTTCTTTTTTGCCCTTTTCAAAATTGAGGACCAAAGAGAAGTCATCTATTTAGTAGATTCCTAAAGTAAAGCCCTCTGGGCTGTAGATTTTGCAGTTGTAATTGACATTTCTCCTCCCCTCTACAGTTCATGAGAAGGCAACAAGTTCTCCTTCTCTACAGAAGGATTTTGCAAGCAATTCGGGAAGTGCCAAATGATTCTGATCGAAAATACCTGAAGGACTGGGCAAGGGAAGAATTCAAAAGAAACAAAAGTGCCACCCGAGAGGTGAGAACAAGATCATGGTGAGGACAGGCCCTGACCATTTTGTATTATTACTTTTTTTAAAGTTCAATAGACATTTTGGAATATAAGGATCATGGAGATGTACGTACATCTTGATCATTCCTTTAATGTTACCAATTTTCCACTCAAATGATAATTGAAATTTTACAATCTTTACAGTAGCATCACCTGACTTTTCTGTTAAACCATACATACACACACAGGGAAAGATTATAAATAGGACAGCATGATGGTTTGGGAAGTATGAGGACTGGGGTTTACAAAAGCATGTCAGACACTGTGCACCCTTTGTCGTCAGTTTGGGGCTTTCCTAACAGTGGTTCCAATTCTCAGTGTTGGTCCCTGAATAATAAATGAAATGATAGAGCCGTACCTTGTTTAACCAAGTAAAACAGTGACCAGCTTTCACTTTCTTCTACAGGATACAATCCGGATGATGATTACTCAAGGCAATATGCAGCTCAAAGAGTTAGAAAAAACCCTTGCTTTGGCAAAATCTTAACGATAGCATTATTCTGAAAGACTTTCAAAGTTTCCATGTGTATTAATTAGACTCGATGGGCAGCCTAAAAGCAAGTCAAACTGTACAGTACTTGGGAAAATGTCAGAACATGGAGCATGGCATGTCAGAGCAAACAAAAGCACATCAGAACAATTGCCTTAACACTGAAAAACATACCCTGCATTTTGAAAATGTTTTTGGATGTGTCAGCAGTTCAAGCAGCAAAAACCAGTACAAGTGGTCAGCACTACCATTAACCCTCTGGGAAATGCAAATTAAAACCACATTGAAACAGTACCACATCCACTGGAATAACTATAATTAAAAACAGTTAAGCGAATGTTGGTAAAGATATAGGGAAACTGGACCCCTCATACATGCTGTGGGAATATCAAATGGCACAGCCACTTGGAACACAGACTGTCAGTTGCTTAAAAGATTAAGTTACCAAACAGTTCAGCAGTTTCCTCCTAGGTTTATAACCAAGAGAACTGAAAATCTTTCTATAAGAAAACTTGTATAGGAATATTCATAGCAGCATTATTCATAATAGCCAAGAAGTAGAAGCAATCCAAATGCCCATCATCTGATAAATGATTAAATAAGATGTCTGTAGAATATTATCTAGCAATAAAAAGGAATGAAGTACTGATACATGGATGTACCAGAGACCAGTCACAAAAGATCACATATTGTAGGATTCCATTTATATGAAGCATCTAAAATAGGAAGAAAGAGGTGGTTCCCCAGGGTGTGGATAGCATGGAAAGTAATTGCAAATGGATATGGGGTTTCTTTTCTGGGTGATGAAAACATTCTAAAGTTGGGGGTGTGGGTTGCACAACTCTGAATATACCAAAGTCCGTTGAATCATATATTTTGCATGTGGGATATGTGAATTATACTTTAGTAAAGGCTTTACTGATTTTTTTGCTGATAAAGAACTGACGTATAATACTGTGTAAATCACTATTTTAAGAAATTGTATGAGATCTATGGATGTATACTGACCTCAGAAGATACCCTGGACCTTTCCTGAAAAAAAATCCTTCTGCATTACTGATGGTTGTTGAGGTAGGTTCTTCGGATGTGTCATGAGCCAGTAGTCCAAGGATTCCCTGAAAAGACCACCACCGGTAATATAGATCTTTGTTGGAAAGAGGAGAGACAGAAGCTTAATGAACACATTAAGGAACTTACCAAAAAGAAGAGGCAACGTCTGGATGAAACTAATGCAATTACCTTAGCATCCACATAGAAAGAAGTGAAACCATCAGGGAAGATCCTTGGTGCATTAGGTTCTCTTCCAGTGACAGGAAGAAAGAGTTTGAAGAATACATTGAAGACGAGAAGTTGACTTGAGGACATTCCAACCAAATCTATAACAATTACTTTAGTGAAAATGAAAACTTATGGAAGAGGTGGGATCGGCGGTCCTATAGACGGATGTCCTCTGTTCTTTTACAGAACAGATCTAAAAAGTTAATCCAAGAATCTGCTCAGCACCTGAAAAATGTAGGAGAAGCTTTGCAGAATGATAAATGGTTAACCTAGTACTGGACTGCCTGCCAGAGAGAGAGAAGCAGATGGTGGCGTTTGTCCATGACCTGCCTGCATTGCCAGGGTCCACCCGCCCCTCCCACAGCCTCAGCCCACAAGACAAAATAATTCTGAATATTCTTCAGCCGGGTAATCTAATTCAAAATGCTTGAGCTAATTATCAGATTTGTACATAGCTGTACATCAGTTAACCTACTGCAAAGCCATTTGATGAACAGAAGCATTTGTGAGCAGTCTCTGAACAGAGAACACTTTTCTTTGTGCAGCATGATCTACCTATTCAAGTACAGGCAATTTCTAGTAAATCTAAAATCTTGACACTACAGATCATCCTTTCGGGAGGTGAAGTCCATGACTTGGTGATGTTCTTCCTAGTGGTGTATGTCAAAGATGTAAGAGCATTTGTGGTTTAAGTTTGTAAGATACAAATACCAGACTACAAGAAAACCTAACTTGGGATTTGTTTTGTTTTTTAAATTGGGCAAAACACTGCAAACTGAATGTTCATCTTCCAGACGCTAAGATTATTATAATCTTAGTAATGGACAGCATTTGAGTGCTAAATAAATCTCAGGCTAAACAACAATTTCTCCTCCCATATGGAACCATGCTCATTAAAATGTTGGCCAGGTTTGAACTCCTGGTGAAACACATTTTATTTAGCATCTTTATCAGTGTTCTGGCTTAGACAACAATTACCTTTCTGGATATTCCCTGTGAACTATACTCATGTGGGGGCACCTCGGTGGCTGAGTCAGTTAAGCGTCCGACTCTCGATTTTGGCTCAGGTCATGATCTCAGGGTGGTGAGATCGAGCCCTGCATCAGGCTCTGTGCTGAGCATGGAGCCTGCTTAAGATTCTCCCTCTCCCTCATCCCCTACCCGCCCTCTAAAACAAAACAAAAAAACCCGTAACTATACTCTTGTTTGAATGTTAAAGTTTTGTTCCCAAAGTTTAAAGTACTTGGATGTTCAGTTTATGTATTTGAACTACAATAAGTCAAATCTTTATATTAAAACTTTTTAAATACCAAAGCTTTCTAGCATGAGGATAAGTGGCTAGGGGTATTATTTAGCATACTGACTGTCCCTACGTCATTACCTTTTTTGAAGTGTGCCATCTGGTTGGAAGTTTCTGAACTCAGCACAGGCATTGCTGTGGGTGGGCCTGCAGAGGACGTTATAATATTTGGGGAAAAGCAGCACATATTCTTTGGTGTCTCTATTACTGGAGTCACACAAGTAGACACTCAGGAGAGGCTGAGACCCCCACTTACCTAAATTGTCTCTTACGGAAGAAAAACGCTAGTCAAACAACAGAAGGAAACAGTTCACATCTACCGTGGGAAAAAACTGGGATTATGTAGAGTAAGGTCTAAGCAGAATCAAAAGCAAATTGTCACTTTGTGCCAAACTAGAAATCGCCGCAGCCTATTTCCTTCCTTGAGTCAGGCATTTGAGAAATTCAGGATTAAATTTGCTATTTTTGTTTACTAGGAAGAGGAAATTGCTTTTTACCCACTCTGGTTTGCATTAGGAAAACTGCTGTTTCCTGGTTATGTGTCTCATGGATTTAATATATTCATATTTATCGCCGTATTTTGACAATATTACAGAAGAATATTTCCCTTTAAAATCACAACAGGGGGCGCCTGGGTGGCTCAGTCGTTAAGCGTCTGCCTTCAGCTCAGGTCATGATCCCAGGATCCTGGGATCGAGTCCCGCATCGGGCTCCCTGCTCCTTGGGAGCCTGCTTCTCCCTCTCCCACTCCCCCTGCTTGTGTTCCCTCTCTCGCTGTGTCTCTGTCAAATAAATAAATAAAATCTTAAAAAAAAAAAAAAAAAAATCACAACAGAAAACAATTTAAATTTTTTTCCTTATAAGTATTCTAAAAGGTCACTGGTTTTGTCTTCTAAATCTTAATTGATTTGGCTTTTATATCACAGGAAATGTATTTAGCTTTTATGAATAATTTGTTAGAAAATGTTATTTTGCCTGCATATAGTTATAAGTGAGGTTTTGTTCTCTCAGTTCAGTATTTTCTAAAAGGTCAGCAGTCTAAACAAAACATTAAAGCTTGTACTGAGAAATATTTCCATATTATTGGCTTTTGAAAAATTTATTTTTCATGCAGTACACCTGGTCTCTACTCTAAAGCAGATGTATTTACCAGAAGTTACCCTTCTATCAAAACAAGGTAAAGTATGCCTGCATGAAGGCACTCTTTCTGGGAACCGTAAATTTGATTAACCACACAAACGAAAATATACACTAAACAGTCACATTTTCATTTTTTAAATAAGGATTTTAATATCCATAGTGTTGAGAACCATGTTTAATGCTTGAAAGAGACAAATTCAAGGTAATAAAAATATTAAATAGAAGACAACATACCTCTCAAGTATCAGCGCTTGACTGGAAAAAAAAAAAAAAAAGATTTAAGCATGAAAACATCAATTCCTTTATTTTGGGCTCCCGAAGTCAAAAGTAAGATTAGAACTATATTCAGTCTAACCACAGATTTTACTTTACTCAATGCAATAATTCATTAATAAAAACCCCACTTCAGTATTACACAACCTTTCTGTGTTTTACATTTTCCCCCATAGCTATTGAAAGTTCCAGTCTCCGTTTCAAACACGACCCACATGACAGACTTTCAGTTAATAGTTTTGCTTCTTTGGAAGAGTACTATCATGGCATTTGCTCATTTTAGCAGATAGCCTAAGGGAAAAATAAGGAAAGATACCCATCAGACCCGAAGTTGAATTTTTGACAATACTAAAGAATAAAAACCCATAAAATAAGCTGTTGGTCTTGAGATGCTGCCACTGGTTTGTGTTAGGAGGCCAACTGATGGTGTTCTGTTTCCTTGCCTCTACTGGGTTCCCTTCGGTTAGAGAAGGATCCATGTAATCGGCCAGACCAGGTGCCTTCGACTCTTCTCATTCCTCCCTCGTCTCTTCCCTGTGACTTGGACAAAAACACCCAGTTCATAATGATAAGCTGCCTGCTTCTGATGGGTAGAGGTTACATAATCAAAATACTTCCTTCCAAAGCACTCTATGGTCAAGATAAAATTTGTTTTCAGGCATTTCTCAACAAGGATACTCCTTGGGTAACAGGAGATATGTGGTAAGTGGGAAGAACTGCTTAGACTACAACTTACGGAGTATCTCAGGATTTCATCTCTTGAGTATCAGGCAGTTCTCAAGAAACTGATGTGTGTTGAGGAAGGATTCTAAAGCTGCCCATGACCCGAGAGACACCGAAGGCACCATCCCACTGCAGTTGCGTGGTTCTGCCTGGGGGCACAGAGGGGAATGAAGAGAGAAGGCGCCTCCCCACCGAGGGTAACAGGAGTCTCGGGAACACCACCACATCCTGAATGGTAGTTGAGGAACAAGACAAGCTCACAGACATGAACATCAGCTCGAGAGGACATTAAATTGATTCCCTATCTGGGTTGTGTAATGGTGAGCTACATCTAGATCTAGATTTGTTAGGAATGCCTCTGTTCATAGATTGTCACTATTAAAAATAACCGCGAGCTTGATTAGGCAAAAACAAAGGGACTATAAACATACTGTGTTTTTCTGGGTGTGCCCATGTCAGGAAATCATTTTCTCTTTGGCTCAATGAGCAACATTTTATTCAACGTTAGAGACAATAGTTACTCAGTTCCTGTGTTGTTGGAAACAGAATGGAGATTTCTGTGCATACATGGAATCTGGAGGAGATGAATATAATCCCACATACCAAGGGACAAGAAGCGGAGAAATCCAAAATTTCAACATACCCAAGCTACTTTTATAACTTTGTATACACCACAGAGCAGAGTAAAATCCTTGGGGCTCCACAAAGCTGGGAAACAGTGGGGTCTAGATCAAGTTATTGAATTATTTTACCTTGACAGAATCACTGCAAAGCAGTGGGAAACTTTTGAGGCTCTTCAATGACCAGACACAATTAGAAGTGAAATACTTTCAAGAAATAGCCTTACTTCTTTATAAAATGTAGATCAAAAAGCTCAAATTTAGAAAGGTACTCTTGGATAATTGGGTGTGATTAAGGATAGAAGCTTCAGGTAATTGTTAAATGAATGTTTTTCCATTAATCTTTAAAATCAGGATTAATCAATTGTCGTATTGCTGTATGTTGGCTGAAAATACAGAAACAATGACCCAATGATTTGAACCTTTCTCATTTGAGTTTATTAACAAATATTCCCAGTGCTTTTTGCCAGTTCCTCATTATTTTAAATACCCTCCGACTTTGCAAAATATTTTAAGATATGCTGGATCTAGTGACATTATGAAAATCTTTTTCTCCTCAAAATCTATTTGATAAGTTTTCATCTGGTTAAAAGGTCAGCCTTTTGAGAAGTAGGAATTGAGAGGGAACTTTGCGCATCTCAGCCACAGCGCTCACAGAAAGATGCCCGTCTGGGCCCAGCAAGTGCGCGTCACATGAATGACTACTGGCGTTCACAAGGGATTCGTTTTTCTTCTTCCCTTTGATTTGTATTATTTCATACATCCTGAATTTTAGGGTTTAGACTCTACAGATCGTCAGTTTCTAAGCGTGGCTCACTTAATCTGAGCTTTCGAACCTCAGATGAGCCTGGACTGAGGTTATGACTTTGTAATGACACCTGAAACTAAGCAAGCGTCCCCTGGTTTCAGTCTCATTGTTGAAGTCGTCATAACTTCAGGGCATAGGAAGCATGGGTCTGGCACATCTCAGAAATTTGACTTTTTTTGAAAGACAAGTCCACTGCGTGCACAATAATGGACACCTTGGGCCTAGCTCTTCTAGAGCTGCAAAGCCAGCAATCATCAAGAATCCCTTCTTGTGCCACGCCCCAGGTCCTAATTGTCCTTCTGCACCTTTGTCCTTAGTTTAGCAAGTTCTTCTTCTAAGCTTTTAATATGTTCCTTCAGCGTGGCCTTGTCTTGCTGGGCCTTCTGACTGGCTTGGCTTCGTGCTTCCTCAATCTTCCTTTCATACCACTTTTCCATCTGGGTAGAAACAGCCTCAAAAAAGTACTGGGTAATCTCCAGAGCTTGGGAGGCATCTCGAGTGTGAGGGGCGGTCTGCTCGCTGCCTGTTGCTGGTGGCGGCCCACAGGGGTTGCTGGGTGCTGGGTGCTGGGTCCGATGCCTTGTTTGCCCGCTTTTCCCAGACTTCCTGGTTTGGGTGCCTCTGTCTACACAGGGCCCAGCCTGCTGATCACATTTGGCTGCCTCTTTCAAGGGTAGCAAGGCTGTCTGGACCTTGACATTCCTCAGCCGGGAACCCATACAGTCTGAGGAAGACAGCTCCTGCTGTGTTCTCTGGGGAGCCGTGGGGTTGAAGGCCTTTTCCTTGGGCCTCACCACCTGAGGAGAACTGTCAGAAGCTGCTACTGGACCTGCAGTGACCACTGATTGATCCACACCTAGTTTCAGAAGGAAAACAAAACCACATTCACACAGTCCCGTGGCTCTGGGTCGGCATTTCAGAGTCCTGGTTAATCCTGTCAACCATCAGCCTTCCCAACTGCCAACCACCATGTGCAATTTCTCCTCTGCCCTCCCCACTTCCACTTCCCCCCGATGATCATTTTGACTTGTCAGGGCTTTCACGGATTAACGACACCAGTGGCATCTAAGCCAAAAAAGTTGCTGGCCTTTCCTTTAGCCAGTTAGAAAGCTTCGAAAGCTCTGGGTAATTTTGTGATTGCTAAGGATGACACAGCTCACCAAGTATCTCCAGAACAGAACTGGGTATGCATAGATGAGAATGAATCTGCCCATTCCCTAATTTCTGGGCCTTTTCCACACCATAGCCCCAGTTACTAGCTCTCTATACCCAGAGCTCCAGCCAAGTTCCATAACTAGACCTAGCATGAAAAATTTGCCCAGGATTTCCCCAATGTTATGGGCACAAAGAAGATAAAACCCCAGTTCCAGAAATGGCCTATAATAACATAATACACATGACATATCAAAATCCCTCACAGAGGCCTAATTACGAAGGTTCTAAATGTCCTCAAAATTAGCACGGAGTATAATCACTGCGGCTAATGAAAAGACACTTTGCTTGAAAGATCTCTATCTAGCACCTGGGGCTTCAATATATGAACTGCTGTTTATGGAGGTTTTACACAGTTGGACAAAGGTCAAAGGCTGATCAAGTAGAAAGCAGCTCAAGGGCCAGGGCAAGGAGCCTGCTGAGGAGACAGATGTTCATTCCTCACTCTTCATCTTTGGGACCCACTCTGACACCATCAACATTGTACCTGAAACACTGCTATCACCAGTCAACAATTCTTGATTATTCCTTTATTCAGAAATGTCTGAATACTTAAATAGGAGTACCTTATTACCGTATAGTAACTGAAAGTACAGCAGTAACCAAAGTAAGTTCTCAGCCCTATAGAATTTAGACTCCAGTGTTTTCCACAGCCCTATATCCTAGGGGCTGCCTTTGGATACAGCAGAGAACAATCTCGGGGGGTTTTACCACCTTTGGATGGAATGGCTCTCTCTGCACACGCGTTACCTGTAGAGGACTCGTAAGTAGATGGTACGGATTTGGTCCTAGAGGCCCTAGAATCTCCAGAAAGCTTCAGCTCCAGATTCTGAATCTTTAACATGCACCAGGTTTTTAATTCATCCACCAATGACATCTACAAAAACAAAAACAAAAACAAACCCGCACAAATGATTAGGTGAATTGGACATGTGGTTTATGAATGAAAGCATCAAGAGTGGACTCTTCAATTATGAAAGTTCAGGATATCATCTTGACAAGCCTAAAAGCTGTGGATTCCCTCCACTCCCACAGCCACACAGCCTTCTCTGCTGCCCTGTGTAGACCAGGATTCACCCAGCACCAAACCTGATAGTTTCTATAATCTTTGAGTGACTTAGGGCAAGAGACACCTTGAACACCCAAAGCTTCCCAAATCTTACAAATCAAGAATTTTTGGCTGTTCAGGAGCATGAACTCTCACACACTCAACAAGGACTCATTTTATGTGTGTTGTTCTTAGGTAGACGAACTCCCCAAGGGCAGGAAACAACTCTAGCTCAACAACAGAGCAATGCCTAACAAATGCACAATACATAGAAGAGATTCCAAGCAGAGACCACATCTTCCCCAGCGTATTCTATGAACGTTTCAGTCTCCACCAATTACCAGAATATTCAGCAACAAATGGACTGAACTACATGTTCTTTTCTATGCATTATATAAATGAATAAAAGGACATTAAAAAGGACATGCTACATAATACAAATGCTTTTATGGGTTCTTGGCCCCTGGGTTTCCAACGATGGGTCCAAGTCTTAACTCAGTGGAGAGGTGCAGTAAATACCCAGCTAACGACGCATCCTGGTTTTCACCTGTCGTTTCTCCCCCTCGTGCTTCTCGGTGTCTGAATGCTGCTGCAGGCGGGTCACGCACTCCGTTCTCTCCGCTGCGAGCCGCTCGACCATCAGCTTGTCCAGAACACGCATCTAGGATTCAGCGGGCAAAGAGCACAGGACTGACATGATCTAAGGATGGGGCGCGGACTCCTGACTCCTGAGACGGGGCTCTGGGGGACCAAGCAGGGGCCAGAGAGAACAGAAGCAAGCCTCCACTTCTCTTTTATCCTAGTTTCATCTAGTATTCATCGAACTCTCGGTTCTCACAATCCCTCAGCATGTTTCTGTGTTATTCAAGGCTTTTTTTCCTCATTTGTTAAAGTCCTAAGGGGTTGAAGAGACTGAACACACAGTAAATCTACAACATAAGCCAACAGACCTTGTACATAGAATTTTTATATGTTTTAGAACATTATTTCCAAAACTATTATTGAAAGGAAAAACTACTTCTAGAAGTATGCAGCTGTACCTGATCTTAATTATCCTTTCTATTAATTTTTAACACCCCACCCTTAAATGTTAGTGGCTGCCTGTGAGGCAGCAAAAGCAGCTGAATGCTCAGCGCTTTTATCCAGTGTTCTTAATGAGCCAACCCCCTTAGTGCTTCGCTGAAAGTAGTCAAAGCAAGTGTGAAGAAGGGGGGGAAATTAAAGTGTGTGTGTCAGAGAACAGATGATTGTCCCCTTTCAGTCATGCCCTCCTAGGTCCCCCCAACATCGTGACATTTCCCATAGGGCCCTAACACCCAGGAAAGCCAAACTTCCACTGCTTTGACAAGGTCCAAACAGGGGAAAGGAACTTTGTTAGCAGGGGCCAGCCCACGAGGGCTCGCTGCTGAGCTCTCTCGTCAGGGACACACATGATGCTCAAAAAACTAATAGAGCAGTAGGTTCCGGAGATGTGGTGAGCACCTTCTGTTTCGTTCCTTCAGCCCTCATGTTTTCCTGTGAGCCGCTCTCCTGTTTTCTAGGATTGGCCTACTCCCCTACCTCCTTATCCTCTGTCAAGAGCAACCGTGTTGACAGAGCTTTGTTCCAGGGCATGGCTGACTGATTCACGCAGGAGTGCCTGACTCGTGCCACACCAGGGTCCTTTACCTGTGGTTAGGAATTAGGACGAAGGTTCCACACCCCCATCTGTCACCCTCCTTGAAATGAAGCGAGGTCCTTGAGAAGATCCAGCATTTATCTAACACATTTCCTCTCTGGGCTTAGGCTAGCCGAAGTGGGTTTTATTTATAAGACAGTCTTAACTAATATATTATGGCATTAGGAAAAGATTTCTTGAAGGCGCTTTCCATGAAGTACAAATAGCAAATAAACCCAAAATGTTCTACCTCACCAACAAACAAGGAAACAAGAATTAAACAGTATTCTTAATTCGACAAAAACTTGAAAAATGGTAATATTAATGACAGCAAAAGTTTGAGACAGAGACTCAATTTATATCCTATCCTGCCTGTTGGATATAAATTCACACAACCTTTCTGTTAAGTAGATTACTAATATTTGTCAAGAGCCTTAAACATATTCTTAACTCTGGACCCAGTTATCCTAAATCTGAGCAAATAACTTGAAAAGCAAACGTTTACGCATGGGGCACCTGGGTGGCTCAGTCGTTAAGCGTCTGCCTTCGGCTCAGGTCATGATCCCAGAGTCCTGGGATTGAGTCCCACATCAGGCTCCCTGCTCAGTGGGGAGTCTGCTTCTCCCTCTCCCACTCCCCCTGCTTGTGTTCCCTCTCTCGCTGTGTCTCTCTCTGTCAAATAAATAAATAAAATCTTAAAAAAAAAAAAAAAAAGCAAACATTTACGCACATAAATGTCCATCATAGCGTTATTTATAAGAGTGAAAAACTATAAGCAACTTTAAAGTCTAATAAAAAGGAATAGTTAAATAAACTGTTGTATTAATATGCTGGACTATTATGAAGCAAAGGACATGGGAAAGTGCTCAGGACATCAAATTAGGTGAAAAAAGCTGGAAGCAAAAATATATAACTTAAGGTGACCTAACTTAAGGTTTCATCTAGTATTCATCGAACTCTAGGTTTTCACAATCCTTGAGCATATGTTTCTGTGTAGTCAAGCCTTCTTTTTCTCATTTGTTAAAGTCCTAAGGGGTTGAAGAGACTGAACACACAGTAAATCTACAACTTGAGCCAATGCAGACCTAGTATTAAGTTAACCTAAGGTGTAACTTAGGGAGGTGGGTGGGGGTTTGGGTGAAATAGGTGATGGGGATTTAGGAATGAACTCCTTGGGATGACCACTGGGTGATGTGTGAGATTGTTAAACCACTCTATAGTACACCTGAAATATAACACTGTTCACTATACTGGAGGTAAAAATAAATAAATAAACCATGTACTAGACAAAAACAAATGATATGTTTAGCTCCATATACAGAAGAGTACATTGTCTTAAATAGCACAACAAAACTCAGGATGTCGAAGACATTACTAAATTTAAACATAGTTACAAAGATGACAAGGGCTCTTCGGGTCCAAGATGGGGAGGTCGTAAGGCCCTTAATCTCCTCCACAGACCCACCAAATCTACACCTATTTATAGAGCAATTCCTCCTAAAGCCCTGGGGGATGACTGAGCAGTTTCTGTGCCACAGAAAATAAACCATATAGAGAACAGGAAGGCAGAGACATGGTACCAAAGGGACCCCCCCAACACTGAACTGTAGTGCAGAGAGTACTGAGCAAACGTGGAAAGATTTGTCTGTCCTGGTGCACAGAAGAAAAGCCTGGATGTAAAAGGGCAACTAGAATACAAAGGCACCAGAGCCCTGCCAGATGTCGGGGGAGCCGTCGGAAAGCTCTCGAGTCAGGAGGGCCGGCAAGCACCAGAGTCTCTGTTCCCCCATCACCTTGATATCGCAGATGGGAGCAGGGCCTGGGCACTCCAGGCATCCTGCCATGTCAGTGGGCCCTGCCCTAACCCACACCAGCCCGAGCTGTCCCACCAAGGCAGCCCCAGCATGGCACACACGTGGACACCCTGGTCAGGGCTCACGACAGCTCCAGCCATGTTGCCAAGGCGACACAGACGCAAAGCACCTTGGACACTCCAGGCCCACGTCGCTCCAACTCCCAGTGACTTGCCAGGGCACACTCAACACAGTGCCCTGAGACCTCCCCCGCACTCCCCTGTGGCTCCAGATGACGTGCCAGGGTACATCCCGTGAAGAGCACCCTGCAACACATCACCTTGCACCCACTTCAGCTTCCGCTGGTCTGCCAGGGCACCCTCCTCATAGAGAGCTCCGGGACATCCCTATACCCACACTTCAGCTTCAACTGACCTGCCATGAGGCCTTTGGCACAGAGAGCCCCAGGACTGCCCCAATTTGCACCCACTTCAGTTCAGGCCATGCCACTAAGCCCCAGTGCAGAGAGCCCGGAGACCACCGCCCCGCCAGGCCACACCAGCCACAGTTCTGCCAGCCAGCCAAAGTCACCAAGCATACACACTCTGCAGAGTGGATTACCATACATAAGACCATTCCTTCAAGTTTAGGATAGGTAGCTGTTTTGCCTGATTCTGCCCAAGAAACAAAAGCAGAAAGTCAAGCAAACGAGGAGACAGAGGAATATACTTCAAACAAATGAACAAAAGAAGAACTAAATGAAACGGAGGTAGCCAATCTGCCTGATAAGAGTTCAAAGTAATGGTCTTAAAGATGCTCACCAGCTGCACAGAAGAGGATGACTTCAGAACCTCAACAAAGAAACAGAAAATATAAAAAGAACCAATCAGAGAAGAATATAGTAACTAAAATGAAAAACACAATATAAGGAACCAACAGAATAGAGGATGAGGAAGAATGGATCTGGAATCTGGAAGATGAGGTAATGGAAAGCACCCAAACTGAACAAAAGAAGAAAAAATAATTTTAAAAAATAATGATAGGTGAAGGGATCTCTTTGACAACCACAAACATTTGCATTATAGGCATCCCAGAAGGAAGAGAAAGACAGAACGGAACAGAAAACTTATGTGAAGAGATAGCTAAAAACTTCCCTGCGCTGGGGGAGGAAAACAGACACCAGGTTCAGGAAGCACAGAGAGTTCTAAACAAAATGAACCCAAAGGAGATCCACACCATGACACATAATTAAAATGTCAAAGAGTAAAGATAAAGAGAATTTCAAAAGCAGCAAAAGTAACTAGTAACATTCAAGGAAACCCCAATAAGGCTATCAGCTGATTTTTTAGAAACTTTCCAGGCCAGAGGAAGTGACGTGATATATTCAAAGTACTGGAAAAAAAAAACCTACAACCAAGAATATTCTGCCCAGCAAGTTTATTATTCAGAATCGAATGAGAGATAAAGACTTTCCTAAACAAAAGCTGAAAGAATTCATCACCACTAAAACAGCCTTACAAGAAAAAAAATTTTTTAAGATTCCATTTATTTATTTGAGAGAGAGAGAGAGAGAGCGCACAAGCCAGGGGAGGGGCAGAGGGAGAGGGAGAAGCAGACTCCCTGCTGAGCAGGGAGCCCAACACGGGGCTTAATCCCAGGACACCGGGATCTTGACCTGAGCTGAAGACAGATGCTTAACCGACTGAGCCACCCAGGTGCCCCAACTTTACAAGAAATTTTAGAGATCTTTTTAAATAGTAAAAAGTCCATAATTAGAAAATTATGAAAAAAAGAGTTCATGAGTAAAAGCAACGTAAAGGTAGTAAAGCAATCACTTATAAAACTAGTATGAAGGTGGGGCGCCTGGGTGGCTCAGTTGGTTAAGCGACGGCCTTCGGCTCAGGTCATGATCCTGGAGTCCCGGGATCGAGTCCCGCATCGGGCTCCCTGCTCGGCAGGGAGTCTGCTTCTCCCTCTGACCCTCCTCCCTCTCATGCTGTCTCTCATTCTCTCTGCCTCGAATAAATAAATAAAATCTTTAAAAAAAAAAAAAAAAGAAAGATAAACACTGACATTTAAAAAAAAAAAACCTAGTATGAAGGTTAAGAGACAAAGAGGTGAAATTGTATCTTTAAAATTAGTTAAGGAAACTCAAAAGAAAGACACAAAATGACAGCATACAAAAATATGGGGGGGTCAGTAAAAATGAAGTTCTTTTTGAATGTATTCAAACTTAAGTGACAATTTTTTTTTTTTTTTTTTTTGAGAGCGAGCATGCATGTGCACATGAGTGGAGGATGGGGCAGGGAGAGAGGGGGCAGAGGGAGAGCAAGAATCAAGCAGGCTCCATGCCTGGCACAGAGCCCAACGTGGGGCTCAATCTCATGACCTGACATGATGATCTGAGTCAAAATCAAGAGAGTTGGTCACTTAACCTCCTGAGCCACCCAGGCTCCCCAAATGACCATCAATTTAACATAGACTCTCTACAATTACAAGGTTATATATGAATCTCATGGTAAACACAAACCCCAAACCTAGGATACACACACACACACACACAAAAGAAAGTGAAGCAGAACACTAAAGAAAGTCATTAATCATAAGAAAACAGAGCAAGAGAGGAACAGAGAATTACAAAACAACAACAATAAAATGGCAATAGGTACATACCTATCAATAATTAAATGTAAATGGTCTAAATGATCCAATCAAGAGACAGAGGGTGATTGAATGGATAAAAAAATAAATAAATAAGGGGCGCCTGGGTGGCTCAGTCATTAAGTGTCTGCCTTTGGCTCAGGTCATGATCCCGGGGTCCTGGGATCGAGCCCCGCATCAGGCTCCCTGCTCTGAGGGAAGCCTGCTTCTCCCTCTACCACTGCCCCTGCTTGTGTTCCCTCTCTCGCTATGTCTCTGTCAAATAAAATCAAATCTTAAAAAAAAAAAATAAGACCCATCTATTTGCTGCCTGCAAGATACTCACTTCAGACTTAAAGGCACACACAGACTAAAAGTGAAGGGATAGAAGAGATTCCATGCAAACAGAAGGGAAGTGGGTGGAGGTAGCCAGAGTAGCAATACTTATAAGAAACAGAGACTTCAAAACAAAGACTGAACAAAAGACAAAGAAGAACATTACATAATATTAAAGGGATCAATCCAACAAGAGGATTATAACAATTGTAAATACATATGCACCTAACCTCAAAGAACCTAAATACATAAAGCAAATATTAGGAGACAAAGGGAGAAATTGATAGTAATACAATAATACTAGGAGACTTTAACATCCCACTTACATCAGTGGATAGATCATTCAGATAGAAAATAAAGAAATTGCCTTTTTTTTTTTAATTTAAAGATTCTATTTATTTACCTGAGAGAGAGAGAAAAAAACGCACAAGAGCAGGGGGAGCGGCAGGCAGAGGGAGAAACTGGCTCCTGGCTGAGCAGGTAGCCCAATGCGATGCTCCATCCCAGGACCCTGGGATCATGACCTGAGCTGAAGGCAGACACTCAACCAACCAAGCCACCCAGGAAATGGTCTTTGAACAATACATTAGACCAGATGGACTTAACAGATATTTATAGAACCTTCTAAACAAAAACAGAATACACATTCAAGTGCACATGGAACATTCTTCAGAATAGATTACGTGTTAAAACAAGTCTCAATAAATGTAAGATGACTGAAATCATATCAAGCACCTTTTCTGACCATAAAAGTATGAACCTAGAAATGAAATACAAGAAAAATAACTGGAAAAAGCATAAACACATGGAGCATAAACAACATGCTACTAAACAACCAATGGGTCAACAAAGAAATCAAAGTAAAAACAAAAAATATATGGAGACAAATGAAAACGAAAACAATAGTACAGAATCTTTGGGACCAGCAAAAGGAGTTCTAAGAGGGAAATTTAGGTAATATGGGTCTACCTCAAGAAACAAACAAAATCTCAAAAAAATCTAACCTTACACCTAAAGGAACTACAAGAAAAAAAGCCCAAAGTTGGAAGAAAAGAAATATCAGAGAGAAAATAAATGAATCAGAGACTAAATAAAAATAGAAAAGATCAGTGAAACCAAGAGCTGGTTCTTTGAAAAGAAAATTGATAAACCTTTAGCCAGAATCATCAAGAAAAAAAAGAGGACCCAAATAAAAGAAATGAAAGAGGGAAGTAACAACTGGCACCACAGAAATACAAAGAATTGTAAGAGACTTCTACAAAAAATTATATGTTAACAAACTGGAAGAATGGATAAATTCCTAGAAATATACAGTTTTCCAAAACTGAATCAGGAAGAAATAGAAAATATTAACAAACCAATTACTAATAATGAAATTGAACTGGTAATAAAAAAACTCCCAAAAAATAAAAGTCCAGGACCAGATGGATTCACAGGTGAATTCTACCAAAGATATAAAGAAGATCTGAGGAGCCAGGGTGGCTCAGTCAGTTAAGTGTCTGCCTTCAGCTCAGGTCATGATCTCAGGGTCCTGGGATCAAGTCCCACATCGGGCTCCCTGCTCAGCAGAGAGCCTGCTTCTCCCTCTCCCTCTGCACCTCCCCCTGCTCATGTTCTATCTCTCTGTCTCAAATGAATAAATTAAAAAAACTTAAAAAAAACCCAGACATCAATGGAACAGAATAGAAAACCCAGAAATGGACCCTCAACTCTATGGTCAACTAATCTTTTGATAAAGCAGGAAAGAATATCCAGTGGGAAAAGGACAGTCTCTTCAACAAATGGTGTTGGGAAAATTGGACAGCCACGTGCAGAAGAATGAAGCTGGACCATTTCCTTACACCATACACAAAAATAGACTCAAAATGGATGAAAGACCTAAATGTGAGACAGGAATCCATCAAAATCCTAGAGAACACAGGCAGCAACCTCTGTGGCCTTAGCCACAGCAGCTTCTTGCCAGACACATTGCCAAAGGGAAGGGAAACAAAGGCAAAAATGAACTATTGGGACTTCATCAAGATAAAAAGCTTCTGCACAGCAAAGGAAACAGTCGACAAAACCAAAAGACAACCAACAGAATGGGAGAAGATATTTGCAAATGACATATCAGATAAAGGGTTAATATCCAAAATCTATAAAGAACTTACCAAACTCAACACCCAAAGAATAATGCAATCACGAAATGTGCAGAAGACACGAACAGACACTTCTCCAAAGAAGACATCCAAATGTCCAACAGACACATGAAAAAGTGCTCAACATTGCTCGGCATCAGGGAAATACAAATCAAAACCTCAATGAGATACCACCTCACACCAGTCAGAATGGCTAAAATTAGTAAGTCAGGAAATGACAGATGTTGGTGGGGATGCAGAGAAAGGGGAACCCTCCCAAACTGTTGGTGGGAATGCAAGCTGGGGCAGCCACTCTGGAAAACAGTATGGAGGTTCCTCAAAAAGTTGAAAATAGAGCTACCCTACGACCCAGCAATTGCACTACTAGGTCTTTACCCCAAAGATACAAATGTAGTAATAGGAAGGGGCACCTGCACCCCAATGTTTATAGCAGCAATGTCCACAATAGCCAAACTATGGAAAGAGCCTAGATGTCCATCGACAGATGAATGGATAAATAAGATGTGGTATATATATATATATATATATATATATATACACACACACACACAATGATTACTCAACCATCAGAAAAAGAAATCTTGCCATTTGCAACAACGTGGATGGAACTAGAGGGTATTATGCTAAGCAAAGTAAGTCCATCAGAGAAAGACAATTATCATATAATCTCACTTATATGTGGAATTTAAGAGACAAAATAGAGGACTGGGGGAAGGCAGGGAAGAATAAAACAAGACGAAATCAGAGAGGGAGACAAACCATAAGAGACTTAATCATAGGAAAAAACTGAGGGTTATTGGCTTGGGGGGGAGGGGGTGCGGGAATGGGATCACTGGGTGATGGGCACTGGGGAGGGCACGTGATGTAATGAGCACTGGGTGTTATAGAAGACTGATGAATCACTGACCTCTTCCTCTGAAACCAATAATACATTATATGTTAATTAACTGAATTTAAATAAAAAAAAAAAGATTTTGGGGGGGCTTGAAAGAAATCACAAAGGCAGGCCTCTTGCCTGATAGCCCGCCTGACATGCTCAGGGCAGAGGCTGCAGAATAGAAGGATGTGCTGAGGGCTCTTTGTGATTTCATTTCCTGTCAGAACACCTGGACATGAGAAGAATTCCAGGCCACTCACTGACCTGGTGCTGGGTCTTGTTCTCCATATGTCCCAGCTTTGTGTTCATTTTATCCTGAACTGACCCCAGCTCTGCTTTGATCTCCTCCACAGCTGCCTCCAACTGGTTCTCCAGCTTGTTGATTAGGGGTTCACATCGACAACCATTTATCGGTGCCTGACAGGGGAACAATAAAGGAATCAATCCACTCATCCGTTCCTTCCCCAAAATTGGTTTTGAGTACCCATCCAGTGCCGGTCAGTATGCCAGGGGGATAGAGACGATGGAGGAGGCGCAGTCATGCCTGGCCTAACTTTGGGATGTCCAGTGGGCCAAGCTTTGGGACCAAGAGGCACTGAGAAGATTCAGAGAGTCCCAATCCTTGTTTCTTTTATCCACTCTGGGGCCTCAAGATTATGCAGTCACCTAAGGATGGTGCAGAAAGCTCGGTAACTAGCCCTGCGTGCCTGGGCCTAAGCTAGGGGGTGCCATCTGCAGTTCAGGTCAGGAGGGCTGCCTGGTTTATCTTCCAAGCTCATGCCTTAAGTCAACACTGAAAGTGGATCTTCATCCCCAGGAATAGTAAGAAGGGCACAGCCTTCCTTAAGGCCTGTCCTCCTAGGCCCAGACAGGGCTCACTAGGTACCTGCATCACTCTCCCATCCTCCTAGGTCCAGACAGGGCTCATTAGGTACCTGCATCACTCTCCCGTCCTCCTAGGTCCAGACAGGGCTCATTAGGTACCTGTATCACTCTCCCGTCCTCCTAGGTCCAGACAGGGCTCACCAGGTCTCTGCATCACTCTCCCGTCCTCCTAGGCCCAGACACGGCTCACTAGGTTCCTGCATCACTCTCCCGTCCTCCTAGGCCCAGACAGGGCTCACTAGGTTCCTGCATCACTCTCCCGTCCTCCTAGGTCCAGACACGGCTCACTAGGTACCTGCATCACTCTCCCGTCCTCCTAGGCCCAGACATGGCTCACTAGGTTCCTGCATCACTCTCCCGTCCTCCTAGGTCCAGACAGGGCTCACCAGGTCCCTGCATCACTCTCCCTGTGCTCCTAGGCCCAGACAGGGCTCACTAGGTACCTGCATCACTCTCCCTGTGCTCCTAGGCCCAGACAGGGCTCACCAGGTTCCTGCATCACTCTCCCATCCTCCTAGGCCCAGACACGGCTCACTAGGTACCTGCATCACTCTCCCTGTGCTCCTAGGCCCAGACAGGGCTCACCAGGTCCCTGCATCACTCTCCCGTCCTCCTAGGCCCAGACACGGCTCACTAGGTACCTGCATCACTCTCCCGTCCTCCTAGGTCCACACAGGGTTCACCAGGTACCTGCATCACTCTCCCTGTGCTCCTAGGCCCAGACAGGGCTCACTAGGTACCTGCATCACTCTCCCGTCCTCCTAGGCCCAGACAGGGCTCACTAGGTACCTGCATCACTCTCCCTGTGCTCCTAGGCCCAGACAGGGCTCACCAGGTCCCTGCATCACTCTCCCGTCCTCCTAGGCCCAGACAGGGCTCACTAGGTACCTGCATCACTCTCCCTGTGCTCCTAGGCCCAGACAGGGCTCACCAGGTCCCTGCATCACTCTCCCGTCCTCCTAGGCCCAGAGAGGGCTCACTAGGTACCTGCATCACTGTCCCGTCCTCCTAGGCCCACACAGGGCTCACCAGGTCCCTGCATCACTCTCCCGTCCTCCTAGGCCCAGAGAGGGCTCACTAGGTACCTGCATCACTCTCCCATCCTCCTAGGCCCACACAGGGCTCACTAGGTACCTGCATCACTCTCCCTGTGCTCCTAGGCCCAGACAGGGCTCACCAGGTCCCTGCATCACTCTCCCGTCCTCCTAGGCCCAGACACGGCTCACTAGGTACCTGCATCACTCTCCCGTCCTCCTAGGTCCAGACACGGCTCACTAGGTTCCTGCATCACTCTCCCGTCCTCCTAGGCCCAGACAGGGCTCACTAGGTTCCTGCATCACTCTCCTGTCCTCCTAGGCCCAGACAGGGCTCACTAGGTTCCTGCATCACTCTCCCGTCCTCCTAGGCCCAGACACGGCTCACTAGGTACCTGCATCACTCTCCCATCCTCCTAGGCCCAGACAGGGCTCACTAGGTACCTGCATCACTCTCCCTGTGCTCCTAGGCCCAGACAGGGCTCACTAGGTACCTGCATCACTCTCCCTGTGCTCCTAGGCCCAGACAGGGCTCACTAGGTACCTGCATCACTCTCCCGTCCTTGCCCCGGTACAGTGTGTAGAGCTGGTACGCTCTGAACTCATGGGGAGGGGGCGGGGGGGAGCATCGGTGCCTGGGCCTCTTTTTAGGATGATTATGTGCATGCGCGTCCTTCTGGTGTCCAGGCTGTTGGTCTGCTGGTGGGGTGGGGTCAGAAAACGCTGACACCTGTGGGAGAGGAAGGGACAATCCCCCTGAGCACCATGACATCCGCAGGACTGACACCCAGCCCACCACTCCCATCTTATTCACGGCTCCCATCTTACTCCCGCCTTGCTCGGTCTCATGGCATTCCCCTCTCAGCAGCCCACGTCAAAAGAAATCTATCAGCACACTAACCGTGTGTTTGAAGTTAGCCAGATTTAAGTTCTGTGCTCTGGCTCCCAACCAGCAAGCCAAGCAAAGTGGCGTTCTAGCTATTGGGTATGACGCTATCCCAGGGCCCTCTGCCAACCTGTCTCCCAGCCCTCCCCTGGCTGCTTTCACAGGCCTCCTGACCTTGGGCCTTGACTTTCTCTGCCTGTTGTCCTTTGCTCTGGGCTCTGGGGAGGTGGACAGGAAATCTTCTCTGGCCTCTTCTTTTCTGGGTACAGCCTGTTCACTGCTGGGGGTGTCTCCTGCTGAGACACTTCCCTACAGAGGAAAGAAAAAAAGCCCAGAAACCAGTTCTAATTGCCCCCCTCTGCTTTTTTCTGTAATGGTGTAAAATGCTGTTTGCAAGACTACATCCATGAAAGGACCCGTGGGACTCTGAGCCAACGACAAACAGGGAACACTGCCTGGTGGTTGACATTGCACATCTTCCATTTTCCCAGTTGCTTGAATATTTGGCTTTGACTCTATTAGGTGCTAAACTAAATATAGTCTTGGGTCTAATTCTATATTCTAGAGCTTCGGGAACCTACCACAAACACTTCAGCGTTAGAGATTTTTTTTTTTTTTTTTTTGCATTTCAACAACTGCAACCACAACAAAAATACCATTCATTCTTTGAGCTTGGACCTCACAATTCATAATGGAGTACGGGAAATCTCTGAAATGAAAAAACATCACATTTCCACTCCTTATAAGAGCTTTTACAAATTAATATATACAATACACCCACAGGAACTTAATCAGAGTTACAATGCCTTAACCCTGGACACGGATAAGATTTTGAAATAGAATAATGAGTACATGGTATAAAATTTTATGGACCAAAAGTTGTCTTTATATCCTAGCCTTTTTCGTCCTGGGAGAGCTGAAAGGCAGAGTTCGTTCCAAGGCTATGGTGTCTAGTCGTGCAGGCTGTCCCCATACAAGGGCACCTAGCAGAGGGAGCTGAAATGCAGCTCGGGCTCGCTTTACCGTATGTGCCCGAGCAGGGCTGGGCTGCCCAGGGGGCATCTTCTTCTCAGTTCTCACAGAGGAATCACATGGGCTAACACAGCCTCAGTCCATTCCCTAAGCAGAAAGGGAGGAAGCAACCTAGGCCAGTGGTGGTCAAACTTTAGTCCACATCAGGATCACCCACAGGGCTCGTTCAAACACAGCTTGCTGGGCCCCCTCCCGGAGTTTCTGATCCAGTAGGTCTGGGGTGAAGCCCCAGACTCTGCATATTTAACAAGGTCCCAGGTGACACAGTGGATGCCACACTTGGCAAACCACTGCCCCATACAATTAAGGGCACAGGGTCTGAGGCGGAGCTGTCCGCATGGTGGTGACAAGGCCATAGAAAGAGGGGGCTGGGAAAGACAGGCGAACAGGCAGACGATCTGAACCCTTGGAGGAGTGGAGGACAGGGAGCTGAAGAGAAAGCACAGACGACAGTTTGAAGAAGCAGTGGGAAGGAGAGACAGAGGAGGGCACGGCCACTGCCACATGAGCCCAGAAGCAGCGGCGCGCGTTTCCCACCCTCTGGAAGGGAGTGAAGTTGCGGAGGCGCGGGAGGGCTACCCCCCACCTTGCTTTGTGCCACCTCATCTCTTGGCACAGACTGAGCTCTCCTCTCTTCCTTGAGCCTCTCTCTCTTTTTCCTCAGGCTTCGCCCACGACTGAAGCGCAAGACCTGAAGGAGGCAAGAGGCATGGTTACAAACCACTGGCGTGCGCAGCATCAGTATGATGGACTCGGCCTTGGACCTGGTGCTCTGATCTAATGGAGCTTCCAGCCTAGTGGGAGAGACCAAGCGTTCACGTCAACAAGCACTTCCAGACTGTCTGCTAGGCTTCCTAGGTCCTGCGCCGGGCTCTCTAGGGACCCAGAGAGGAGAAGCACATTATCCCTGATCTCCAGTAGCTTACGGTCTAGGACGAGAACAGGCATTTATGTGCCGGGCCACGGCCACCGTATAGGTGTGTGCAGGCTGTGTATGGCTGAGCTCCAGGGAATACCACTCACAGAGACTAGGACAGGAATGGCATCCCCTGGAATGGTCAAACGTGGCAGCCCCAGGCCAGGCACAGGCTCACCATCTTGGTACATGGGATCTGAACTAGCCTATCAGATTTTCTCTTGACCAAACCGTATTCAAGGATATTTGCAGTTTGATTCAAACATTAAAGTGTGTCTGTGAACCATGGTCCCAACCATGGGACAGGAATCTCCTCCCCAGAAGGAAGCATTTGGTCTGCCCCTTCGAGTGCAGGAAGGTAGAACAGACACACGCATGTAGACATGGGGTCTGACAGCCTGATTTTGGAACCCAGTAGCAGCTAGCTGTAGAATCTTTGGGCAGCTTATTTGCCCTCTCTGTATTCTCCAGTGTAAATATGGGGAGTTAATGGAATTAACGACGACAAAGCAGGTGGCTGGTACACCCTGGACCATCAATCACTGTTAGGTGTCTTCCTCTTGCCTTGCTCCCTAGAGTACCTTGACTGGCAGAGGAAGTTTAACGAGGGTACAAATCTTTGAGCTGTCAGAAACCTTCAATCTCTGGCCCAGCTCCAGACCCTTCCCCCAGGCCCCTTCCTTCCCATTTCCAGGGGTACCCCCTTTAACTAAGGAGGTCCAGCAAGTAAAAACACCTTTTTCAAGGTCTCACAATTTCTCTGCAATAAAACATCTTGTCTTCATAGGTAGATAGTTCACCATAGCTTTCAGCTCAATGTTCAACTTTGTGTTCATTAAATTCAAGTGACACTATTATGGGACAAAACCTCTATGGGCAGCAGGTACCACCTAAATGGAGAACTCCTGACAATATCTGCCTGTGGCTGAACCAGATTTTTAAACTGTATTCTCATCCCCTAAGCCAACAGCTCTGAAAGTGTCCTGGAACCAAGGCTAAAATTACCTTCATAATATTACAACAATGTCAGCCTTTTTCGCTCTCACACTGAGTATACAGCGGTGTTTACCAGAAGCTGCACACGATACTCCAATGGATCACATGCATCTTCCTTTTAGGAAAACAGTATGGAGATTTGCAGAAATGAAAAATAATGCTACTTACTCTCCTCACACAACTTGTTTTGATAAAGTTACTTTTCACAAAAACAAGTTCATTTTGTGGTAACATAAATAGAGTTAAAAATGTTTATTCATTTAAAAACATTTCTCAAGTTGAATTTCAAATATGGTAACTATTAACAGATACAAACACAGCTTTTTATGGGCCTCTAGAATATTAAGTGTCCCTAGACCAAAAGGTCTGAAAGCCACTGTCCTAAGCCCTTTCGTAAGCTAAATTCAGACTTACTAGGAAGTCAAGTCTGATGAGGAGTGACTAGTGCCCTTTGCTCATTCAGCTTATGGACTCTAGGAACAGAACACAGCCCCAACATCAACCCCAAATTCACTTTCAGAAGCATTTGTGAACCTCATCAATCTAAAATGGGAAGGGATACTCAGAGGTCACCCAAATCATCAGAATAATTCCCTCCATAGACCATGTTATTAGCCAATGAAAATAACTTTGCATGGCTTACAGCCTTTCTCAGCGAACCATGTTGTCTACTAAATGGAAGGTCATCAATCTTTTCCAGTTCACGGAAATCAGGGTATATGGATCTTTAGAAAGTAACCTCTTAGTACTGCTGTGAGCCAGTGAAATCCATGGTCAGCTAACATCCCAAGGCAAGGAATTTCCTGTTTCACACACAGGAAGGCTAGTTCTAGAACCTCAGAACAGAAGAACGGCATGTATACAATTTTATGCACATTCCAAAGTTCCTTCTTCATGTTGAGAATAGAGTTTAGCATATATAATTACATAAAATATTCCATAAAATGTCATTTTATTTGCCATTCAAATGGGTGTGGAAAAACTGAAGTCTTTTTTTTTTTTTAATGGAAACACTAAAGGAGAATCACACAGGAAAATGGTCCACGGTAAAGCTTTTTCTCTATGAACTCAGATCCTGAGTTCTGGAAAACAAAGGGCAGGTGGGTTAAAGGCCTATAATTCTGTGTGCCTTGGGGATACTCCACCCCACAAAATTCGATGATCTTCATACAGCCAAGGACAGAGCTGGCTCTCCAAACTGCCAAACACTGAAATGCCATAGAACAGAGATGGATTCTGACCTTTATTATAGCATCCCATACTTTTTGATCTGTAAAAGACCAGCATTTTTCTATCAGGATTCATGGATGTGATTCCGTTGATGATTTGTTTGCAAATAGTCGGAAAGAGGTGGAAACTTTTTCCAAAGGACCACTTGACTTGTGTCTGTCAGGGATTCCACAGACTTCCAGACACCACTGAGAAGGACCAACTCCACGGGCAACAGGGTGATCAGTTTTCAGAAGGCAAAAATCTTCACCACTTCCAGAATCTGCTAGTTATATCAGGTAGGTTTTGAAAACAAATGAAATAAAGGCCATGCAGACCCCTGGGCTGATGGGGCTCAGGCGCAGCAGGCTGGTATCTGGAATCTTCCTCTGGCTCTCTGAGACTTTACCTTCTCACAGTTATCAGGCATAATAAGTTCGAAAACTAATCTGTTTTTGCTGTAATGTAACAGAGTACCTCCAATCAGGAAGCAAACCATATCCTTAATATTGGACATTTAGGTTAACAAAATATTGGACAGCAACAAAAAAGCAAACTGGCTTTCATTATGATGAATTATGTGAACTGCAGAACATTTTCCTACTATAGTTAGGATAAAGGGCAGGATACAAAAGGGTATGTATATTGTAGGCACAATTATGAAAATTATGTGTCTGAAAGGTAATATGAATAAAAAGTTACTTCAGGGTGCTGAAATGATGAATAGCTTATACATTATTAAATGTTAGATAATTTCTTTTTTTTTTTTTTTTTAAGATTTTATTTATTTATTTGAGACAGAGAGAATGAGAGGGAGGAGGGTCAGAGGGAGAAGCAGACTCCCCGCCGAGCAGGGAGCCCGATGCAGGACTTGATCCCGGGACTCCAGGATCATGACCTGAGCCGAAGGCAGTCGCTTAACCAACTGAGCCACCCAGGCGCCCCAAATGTTAGATAATTTCAATCTCAACTCAAATGATATCAATTTTTTAAGTTAAATGATGCTCCAAATACCATTATATTCAATAAAAAAGGAAAGAACACTATTATACTTGACTGCCTCTAATGGACATTTTACTGCCTTGTTTGCCTCGACTGGATCCCTTCCTCCCACCTTTCTCCAGGAAATGCCCCTTCCAACCACATGGTCAATGGATACAGCTATCTTCCTAAAGTGCCTGTCCTACTTGTTCAGGGCATTTGCCCCAAGCTCGCCAATCATGATCTTCTTCTGTATCATTTAAACCAGAACTTCTTCGCTGAGTACTTGGGGAGTTATAATCCACAAAGCTGGTAATGACCATGATCCAGCCACAGAGAAGAAAGGATGCCCATGTATGAAAACGAGCCCACTGAACCTTATGTCTCCGGTTCTGGTTATCTTGGAGGCCCACGTGGATTCCTGCATTTTCCACTGCCTGGTTGCAAACCCATCAATTTCTGATTTAAGTTATTTTGAATTGGCTTTAATAGATGGCCACTGGAGATTCCCAACAACTTTGCAGCCCCACATAATCAATATAATGGAAAATGCAATAAATCCTACCTGGGGAGCTTTAGTGAGGAGAAGAGCAACTTCCGGATTATTGTGGTAGCGGGCAGTCTCCAATGGAGTCTGGCCTGCCTAAGGAAAGGCACAGGGGAGGACAAGTGAGTAAAAGACACCAACCCTGCACACATCTAGCCCAACTGGGACAGCAACTCTGCACTCAGTCACACCGGCATGTAAGCAAGCTCAACAAGATATAATCACACGTAAGACCTGGCCTTGCTCTTGAGCCTCGCCCCATTTAGTGCAGGAGCCAAGTCACACCTGAGAGCATAATGATTAACAACATACAGCAAGAGAGTCCTGACCCTCTAGGAAGCAAAGCTCTGGGATACCTGCCCACCAAGGAATGCTTCCTAGAAAAGAGGAGGGAATGTAAAAGACAAGGTCACGGTGGAAGATTTCAGTTGAAGAAACACAAAGGATCATAAAATCCAGCCAAGCAATGAATTTTCCCTGGAGGACACTTGGAAGATCAGGCCCCAGCCAGTCTCAGGACCTGGATTGTAAAGAACAATTAGGAAGCTCTGGCCATATCGGAGGCTCTAGGGAGATAAAGGCAAAAAGTAGGAGTTGCTAACAGTGGGACTCAAAAGAAGGGAAAGGCCATCATGGGACAGGTACGATGATGCACCACACAATATAGGTAGGAGAGCTGTGAGGAGGAAGAGGTGGAGGAGGAAGCTGGAGACTAGATACAGGAGCCTTTTGCCAACTCCAACACTCCCCAACTCTCTACACAACTGTTCTGTCCCCAGCCCCTGAGTCTGGGCTACTTCAGGAGGGCAGAGACCACAGGTCAGCCTCAAGGAAGAAAGGGTGCCTGAGCTGGTGCCTGCCATAGAACCTAGGAGAGGGAATAGGGTGGGGTGGGATATTGAGAGAGAGAGAGAGAGAGAGAGAGAGAGGGAAAGAATAAGGTGATTTTGGAGAGAGAAGAGAGTTTTGAGGATGATTAATCTGACGGTCATGTGGCCACTTTTCTGAGTAGCCTGTTCGTTTACAGGGCAGGAACTCACTTTCCGTAACATCCACTTGTCAGTTTACTTAGACACCCACGACCTTCCCTTTACTGGCAGGATGTGCTCACTTCATCTAAGAGTCTAAGGATAAAGCCTTAGGGTTCATCAACTCATGGGGCTGCTAGGAGCAAGGGTTAGCTCAAGTCCACCTCTGGGGTCCTCAGCTTTAACAGAACCCCAGCTCTTACAGAGTAAGGCTGCGGGGGCTTTGTGCCCTTTGCAGAATAAGACTGGGTGAGGCTATGTGCCCTGCAGGAAGTGAGGTAGTAACAACACACTCCATTCTGGGAAGGGGTGGGAATGATTTTTAGAAACACTGTTGCAACTTAACTTACATTATTAACAATGGTCCCATCTGCTCCAGCTTCCAGTAAGATTTTAACCACCTTCTTGTGATTTAGGGCGGCAGCAACATGAAGCGCTGTGTCTCCAGCCTGAAATTAATCAGAAGAGAGGCTGCTAAACTCCATCTGATTATGGCATACAGCCCTCCGGATTTTCATCCCATGGCCTGGTGGTGGCTATTCAAATTAGGATTTGCCTTAGACTGATAGGGGGCCCTTTGCTCAAGTGTTACGTGGTTCTCTTTAAAGAGATCTCTTTAAAATGACCTACGTACAAAGATCACACTCCTTTCTGACTAAGGATACTAGAAATCACAGGATTAAGTAAAGGGGGCAAAGTAAGGTTGGGCTGGGGTTGTTGAGAATGGGGAGACCTGAAGCCTTACACCGAATTAGATAATGGGCACACAGCCATCACAGAGCTCTGTACCACGTCCCTCTGCCCAGGCAGAGGACCCCTTGGTTTCTGAGTACTAGAATGAGCAGAAGCTGCAAGAAAATGGCTACTTCTGCAAGCACCAGGGGGGATCCCAGCCCTGCAGCACCCATGGGAATGTAAGGGGCCCCCTGGGAATCACTTTGCAGGCTCAGGGTGTTCGTTTGGGTGGAATCACTGAAAAAAAAAAGTGTTCACTTAAGACCAGCTGTTTTCAACCTCTTACCGAATAGCCTATTAAATAAAGCTCATATTTTCTTTCTACAAAAAATGTTCAGACAATCAACTATGAAAGGAGGCTATGGATAACTGCAGCTTGGTGGGCCAATTCCCAATGTGAACATTTGTATTTCCCAAAGCAGAAGGATATAAATAAATCAGGCAAATACAGATGTGAAATCCATTCTCTCCCATTGGGTGATCAGGTAAAGCTCCGGATGACGTGTTTTCCTGGGCAGCATGAAAATCCAGTTGTCCCAGGGCCCTCGTCCCCCAAGGGTAGCCAGGGAAGTTTTAGTTCACTGCTGAGTCACTTAGCTGCGTGTGTTAGGGATGCTCTGCAGCAGGAGTTTCCAACCTTGGCTGCAAATTGGGATCAGCTGGGGAGCTTTAAGAACTATTAACACCCGGGTTCCTCCCCCAGGCACTGATTTAATTGTTCTGAAGTGTAGGTTGGGCATGGGGATTTCTCAAAGCTCTCAGGTGACTGAAAAACATCCTGCCAAAGTTGAGAAACATAGGTTCGTGGGGGCTGGGTAAAGGTAATCTGATGAGCGAGAATCCGCTGGAAGCCTGGAGAAGGACAGGATCAGGTATTCAGCTAGGCCAGTGGTTCTCAATCCTGTCTGCACACTTAGGTCAAGAGCTTTCTAAAAATCCCATTACCTGGATTCTGGTCATTTAAACTGGGGTAGAATTCAGCAATGGTATTTATAATCTCCCTGCTGATTCTTAATATGCAGCAGGAGTCAGAAACCACTGTTATGGGGCACCGTCGATCTGAATAATGATCTGTTTTTAAAATTTCAGATATATGCACCCAAACTCAGAAAAGCCAAACAATGTATCACTTAGGTATCAATAAATACCAAGACATTTAAAAACTTTAAACTACTGAAAATCATGCACATTTCTATGGAACGCTGTAATAATCACAGCTTTATTGCAAACCCCCAGTACACAGATGCAGATCACATACCCAGTTTTACAGAGACCAGAGACTCCATCAGCTCAAAGTGGCAGTGCAAGGAACAGAACTCATGGAGTCAGGAGACACCTAATTCCCTTGCCCATTTATTAAGCCACGTTCCTCTTTGTGGGTTTCCTCTGTGAAAGCATTACAACAAGCAAAACCTGCCCCAACATCTTCAGAAAATGTTCAATATGCAAATGTGGAGCTATGAACTGGAATGAGAAGAGCAGGCTCTGTCCAGGAGGCCAGATAAACCAGGACCACAGGAACTCAGTGGAACACTCATGCAAAGGCCAGCACTGGCCTTGTCCCAGCCTGGAGGCCCCCAGCAGTCTTTGTCCCCATTTGTGGTAACACACCTGCCAGCCTTGTGGGAATGGGGCCCGGTAGCCATGGGGAGGACACATGCACTGACCTGGTTCTTTTCATGGACAGAACAGAAAGCACTGAGGAGGAGCTTAATGATGGACAAGTGATTATAGCGTGCGGCAACGTGCAAACAGGTATCGCCTGCCTGCGGACAGAAATCAAACTCTGAGCACAATCTGAGCAGTTACATAAATAAATAAATAATAAATAAAGATTAAAAAACTGGCAGACTAGTGTATGTTCTTTAGAGGTTATCAGCCTGAACTGGAAGCATCCCCTTTCCCGTGGACGCCCGACTGCAAGCCCCACAGCTCTGTGCTGTTCTCTGCGGCTCCACCGGCTTTCTCCGAGCGGACTCTCCGCTTTCAGGTTTCAGACGCTGGGCGCCCGCTCCCCACGAGGCCTTCACCGGAGCTAAGGCAGGCTCTGCTTACCCAGCACTTGCTAGGAACCCACTCACCACAGCCTCTCCTACAGCCCAAAGGCTCTGGAGTATACCGAATTAAGACCAACAGCACTGCTTTGGAAACGAGCCCTTTTCCATCATGGATTTGTCACGGCACAAAGGTCAGCGCGGCAGGGACAGCCGTCAGATTTTAAGATCACCTGTGTTCTAAAAAAAATTCAAGCTGCATCTCATTTTAGTAGGACCCCAATATTTCAGGCAGGGCGGGGCAGAACAGTCTGGGGAGCTGATGAGGAGGCAATCACTGGCGTAAGACAGAGCATTCAGGAAAAAACTCAGGATCAAGATCTTCCTTAGTGGGCACGGGCTAACCCGCTCCCAGAGAGAACAAAACTGGAGACAAAGTCAGGACACTGCAGTGTTTTCTTGATGTTTTCATTCAAACTTTGTCTAGAGATGGCCGCCACCCAGCATGACCTTCTCCCCTGGATTAAGACGGAGCCAAGCTCAAAGCCCAAGTTCAGGGCATTCTAAGACTCACTTTAGAGGAGTCTGCCCTCAGTGAGGGAGACCTCAGTGAAGGCTCTTTTTCGAGAGGAGCCCCAGCCAGAGTCTCTAGTCGAGGGATGAGGCACGGGACTTACAAAGGAAACACCGCTGCTTGTGGAGGGAGGGGGCATGCCCACGTGACCTCCAAAGTCAGGCATCCTCTAAGAACTACTGACCCATCGGCTCATCTCAAGGGCACCTCAGTAACCAATTTGTAGACACAGGCATCAGAGGATCTCCCCTGGACGGCATCGTCTGCCATTTGCTAACTGCACAACACTACGTGGGCAGAGGTTTCCTGGACTCATTTGCCAGCACATGCTATGCAAAATGTTGAAACAAACCCAGGCTGAGGAGCGAGGGGGAAAGGATGGGAGAAGAGCAGTGTTTGAATCTTTTGAGTCCTCTTCTCCTGCCCCTGGCCGACCCCTTAAGGCATAGCAAAAAAAAATAAATACTTTATAGATAGTCCCCAAACACTTTTCCCATTTTCAGTTTCATTTTCTAGGTGTTAATACTCAAGTATGCTTTCAGGGTTACTTTCCAAGGTGACACAGGAGAGCGCGAGAGAAGCCGGATTTGTTCACCCACATTATTTTTGAGGTCGGCCCGGGACCCGCCCAGCAGGAGGATGCGAGTGCTCTGGGAGTGGCTGTTCTGGCAGGCCAGGTGCAGAGCGGTGTTCCCCGCCTTGGAGAGAGGCAAGAGAAGGGAGGACACGTTAGCAACATGCTTCTCGGCCGGTCTGCATGGGGCAGGCTTTGCAGGGGGCTGATAGACACTTGCAAGAAAAAAAAAGTCAATGCTCACATTCTCTGCTTCCTGACTGCTGGCCCCAGCAGAGGGGTTTCAGTGGCAAGAACAGTTAATGTGGAATCCAGACAGGCGCAAGAGTCCTATCAGCCACAAAACCTTGGCTCTGCCACTTCCTAGCTGAAAGTCACTGGTCAAGACTCTTAATATGCTCAGTCTGGAATTCCTTACCTGTAAAATGGAGTGTGACCCCTACTTCCTGAGGCTGTGAGGATTAATTCGGAGTGCCTGTGAGAGAGTATTTACTTAATGGCAAAATGCTGTGTGCGTGCAGTACGTTGCACTCCTTTTGGAAAGGACCGCATCCTTCCTGCCCAACGCAGATAACAGCTGTGACTACAATACACCACTGGAGTAAAGGCAAAAGAGGCCACTTCCTGTGAGTGCAGATAACTGAGATTTAACTTATACGCCTTTGGAAACCTTCCATTCTTGTGTTTTCCTTGAAACATCAAAATCTGAACTATGAACAAAGGTATGCACACTGCAGGCAATACGATTACGTCCACCACTTACCATACAGATGGAGACCCTCTTGCTTTTTGGGCTCCACCACCAATGTGCCATTTCACAGTGACAACCAAGGGTCAGAATCACGTCCATGGCAATGTTACAGAAAGAATTCATGACATAAACAACTTTTTAAAACCGTGCACACGGTGCCTGCAAGGCTGCTGATAAAAGTAACAACAAAAGCAGACAGCACAAGAGGAGATGTGGTGTTAGTCTGAGAGAGCCTAGGAGCATACAGGAGGTTAAGTCTGTAAGCTCAGTGATTGGTGGGCTGAGCTAAAAAGCTGGGTCAGGACTGCAACTGTGTGGGCTCAGAGCTATTTCACTGCCTGCTTACAGCTTTTCCTCGCCCCGGATCTGGATCCCATGGCACTGTCTGCCCATACTCATGGATGTTCTATTTCTCACCTCTTGAAAAGAGCAATGAGTTTTATTAAAAAAAAAAACCACACAGAGGAAAACTGGATGTCGCTGGTTCACTTACCTCCCCTCTCATACCCTTAGCTCTAGGCAGCCTGGGTAGAATCTTTCTTCCTTACTGCTCCCTCCAAGGAACCTGAAGGTTATAGGCCTGAGCGCTTAGTGAGCTAGGAGGTTATCAACCTTCCACTGCACCAAAGAATCACCTGAGGGAGCTTTTAAGACTACTGGTGTTCAGCTGCAACCCTTCTAGGGACTCTTGATTTACTCAGCCTGGGGGTGGAGTCTGGGTAGTTCAGGTCTCAGCACCAAAAGTCCCAAACTCCAGGAAACCCCTCGGCCCAGGGAAAACTGGGACAGCCTGTCACCTGAGGCCCAGTCATCAGGTGAGTTTGTCGCCCCCCACTTTTGTTTTTGTTTATAGTTTTCCAGGAGATTTTAGAGCACAAACAGGTAGAGAGCCACCGCTAGCTTAGCTCTCAAAAACAGAGGATCGGCCCACGTTTTAAACACTCCGTCTTCTGTGCAAGGGCTCAGCGCCTGGCTTGGTGTAATTCTTACTGCCCTGGCAGTAGGTTGTCTTAAAGGTGTTGGTTTCATGGGAGTTATTAAATGTGTTGAATAAATGGGGAAATAAAAGGATTCTGATGGTTCTGGAACTATACACCAAACATTGCTTTGCTAATAAGAAAATATCAATTATGCTGAAAAACATTTGGATCAAGAAAATCAAAAACTGTGGATTAGAATACACAAATGATGGTATGTTCATACACTGGACTCTTACTTGGCAATAAAAAGGAATGAACTAATCTCACATGTAACAACATGGAGGACTCTCAAAAACATGAAGGGAAAGAAGTTAGGCACGAAATGCTGCATACTCTTTGATTCCATTTACATGATGCTCTGGGAAAGGCAAAGCAGATCCGTGGTTGCCAGGAGCTGGGAGTGGTGGGTGGGTGGGTGGGAGACTGCCACTCAGGGGCACAAAGGAAGTCTCTGGGGCGATGGAAACATTCTATATCTTGATTGTGCAGGCGGTTACACAACTATATACATTTGTCAAAACTCATACAACAACATACCTAAGAAGGCTGAACTTTATTGTATATGGATTATACCTTACAAGCTGACATTTAGAAAATGTGACCTAGGAGATATGCGTAGCAGGCATTTTTCCATCCTGAGTAATGAGTACTTATTTCCCAGACAGGGGTTGAAATACTCACTGGGTAAGTTCTTATACAACAGAATGTTCTTATACAACAGAATATCATCCAACCTCAAAAAAAGAAAGAAATTCTATCATTTGTGCCATGCATGACCCTAGAGCACACTTGTTAAATAAAATAAGCCAGACAGAGAAATACTGTATGGTATCACTTACACGTGGAAGGTGGGGAAAATAGGGAGAGGTTGGTAAAAGGGTACAAAGTTTCAGTTACAAGTATCCTCTAACATACAACATGGTGACTATAGTTGATAAATTGTATACAAAGAATAGAACTGAATGTTTACATCAAAAATTTTTTAGAAAGTGTAAACATGTGAGGTGAGGGGGGTGTTCATTAATCCGATGGGGGCAATCCTGTCACAACGTATACATATATCAAGTCGTCACTTTGTACATTTTAAATATCTTACAATTTTATTTGTCAGTTATACCTCAGTAAAGGTGGGGGCAGAGGGGAGGGCCTTTTTAGAGACTTTGCCAGAGGATGTGGCTGGTGCACAACGTAGAAGTCCTTTTCCGGGATAGCCCCTACCTTTGCTTCTGACAGTCTCTGCTGTTCTATCTAGAGAGACCTTGTGGCTTTCCACAACACCTTCGGGGCCCCATACAGGATAGGAAGCAGTGTGGTGGAGCAGACGGACTCAGGCTAGTTTATGGCCCTACCTGTGTGTCTTTGTTGAGACTACTGGCTCCCAGCTCAGGCTTCCCTATCCATTAACTGGGAACCACCTACTTCTCAGAGTTCCAGGATCTAAGATACAACATGGGTCCACCTACAACTCATGTTCCAGACAATATACCACTTTGAAGAAATGAAGCAGCCACCAGTTTGCAGTGACTCAGGCATTACTGGAGATACCATGATGCATGGCTTGCTTCTTTTCCTCCAGTTTTTGTCCCATGAGGGAACCATGAGAAACATTTATTTTTTTTTTTAAGATTTTATTTATTTATTTGACAGAGAGAGGCACAGCTAGAGAGGGAACACAAGCAGGGGGGAGTGGGAGAGGGAGAAGCAGGCTTCCCACGGAGCAGGGAGCCTGACGCGGGACTCGATCCCAGGACCCTGAGATCATGACCTGAGCCGAAGGCAGACGCTTAACGACTGAGCCACCCAGGCGCCCCCATGAGAAATATTTAACCAGTAAATGATAGCACAAAGCTGTGTGAAGTGCCAAGGGAGCTCTGCAGGAAAGAGCCTGATGGGCCTTTGGAGAGGGAGAGGCCACTGCCCTGGGAGCCGGGGTTGGAAGTCTATGGGCGGATAGGAGAAGCAGGCTTCCCCAAAGGGAGTGGGCAACGGGAAGGATGATGAGCCCCCTCTGGTAGCACACGAGGCACATACTGGGAAAGGCTCAGGGAAGAGGCTGCAGACAGACTGAGGCCACTCCAGGGAGGCCCAAGACAGTGTCAGGCTGGGGAGCTTTCCTGGAAGGTTTCTGAGCAGAGAAGGAGCAGGATGAAGAAGGGACTAAGCAAGCTGGCCAATCTGCTGTGAGGTTTCTGCAGTAATCCAGAGATGCATTCATTAATAATGAGCACAGAAGGAGGGGATGTGACTGGAGGGGAGATAGGAAAATGCGGGCAAAGAGGTGCTGCTGGCTTCTCCCCGTCTCCAGGAGGACGGGGCTGCTTGCCGAACCACACCCGGATAAACCAATGGGAAAGCGGTGAGAGCCAGGAGAATTCAGAGGAAGTCAAAGCCACTCTAGTAGTTTCTCTTGCTCACCATGGAGATAATGTTTCATTTCCCCTGGTCCCCCGAGCTCTCGCTTCACTCAGTGAGGAGGCTCACACAGGGACGACAGCCTGCAGCCATCCCCACCTGTGAACAGAGAGTTCTAGCACCTGTTGGGCCTCACCTTGTTCTTGGCAAGCACGTTGGCTCCTGCTTTAACGAGCAGTTTGGCTGACTGGCTAAAACCGTGCCAGGACGCTTCGTGTAGGGCTGTATTCCCGTCCTAAGGAACACATACGGAGACAAAGCACATTACCCAAGACCTAATCCATCTCATTAGAATCGATACATCACAGTGTATTTCTAGGGTACGCATCATAGGTCCTTTCTCAATGGGGGCTTCTCACAGGAACCACAGAGCCCAGAAAATGATTTCAGGGGCTAGTTTCTCCATTCTCCCAGAAATGGTACATAACAAGTACCATTTTATTTTTTTACAATTTTTGGCAGGGAGGGGCAGAGGAAGAGGGGGAGAGAGAATTTTAAGCAGCCTCCACCCCCAGCATGGAGCCCAACTCAGGGCTCAATCCCATGACCCCGAGATCATGACCTGAGCTGAAATCATATTGGATGCTTAAACTACTGAGCCACCCAGGCACCCCAGCAAGTACCATTTTAGATTGATGATGTACAATAGATGCCTTAAGGCATTAGGGCTTAAATCTCTCCAGGAACCCCGGTTGAGAAAGGCTCATCCATAGTCACATTTAACAGAAAACAACATCGAGATGATGTTCATTCCTTCCCACCTCCATCACCCCTGGGGTCTGCTCTGCTCTGCTCCTGGCCCCAGAGAGAACCCTGAAAAGATCAGGCAAATGAAGAGTCCAGCTTCATAAGCTGCCGGGCCCAAGGGCTGGATAGGCAGATTCCTCCTCTCTTTTTCTTCCCCCAATTTAATCTCACCCAGTTTAATCCAAAGTCTCAGGGACCGAAACAAATAAGCAGACACTGAGACAACAGTGACTTGTAAAGAAGATAAACAAGTGTCCTCAGTATGTGGCTTTTTAAATAAAAACCAACCAATTAACACACACAGCTGGCATTTGCTTAACTTCCTACAACAGAAATATTAAGTGCAGTGAAGTGAGTGGGGCGGGGCTGAGAGGGCTGGGGTTATAGGGAGGGAGAAGCATGCAGAGGAGAGGTGGAGAGACCGCGCGTGTGCTGTTCCAGGTCAGAGTGCGGAGCAGGCCTGGGGGCAGGGCAGGGCACGTCCAGGCGCTGGCTTTGGCTCTTCTTCGTCCATACCACGAGACTGGCTGAATGGCACTGACACCCACAAGGAGGAGGCTAGGTAGGGTCTGAAAGGCCTGGGAATGGGGTGGTGCTGGGAATGGTAGTGGCCATATTTGGGCTGGCCCGGGGGACTGACTGCACACAGCAGGAAGCAGAAGGAAAAGTGACTGGATGGGGACACTTGTGAGGGGGCTTCTGGCATGCTGCTAATGATCTGCTGCTTGATCTGGGGGCTCACAAAGATGTGCTCAGTTAGTGAAAACTCACTGAACTGCATGCTTATAATTTGCACATTTTTCTGTATGTATGGGACGCTTGAGTTAAAAAGTTGTCTAAAAAAGTAAACACAGGCCGAACTGCACTTAATTACAAAGTTCCCTGCTTTAAGATTAACGATTTAAAAGCAACGATTAATATAAAATATATCATTGGGATTTCTTAAAGAATTGATTTTGCTCATTTTTTCCCTCCCAATATATTTCAAATTAATTCTAATTTTTTTGTAAAGAAAAGTGAGCAAGTTAATTTGAGTCCAGGGCACATCCTTTCCCCATCCAGGCCTCCACAGGTCATTATTTCTAGAATTTTTTTCTTTACCACTTATATTTATGTGGTTGCCTGCTGCTGCCACAGAACAGGGGGAAGGATTAAAAAAAATACAATTTGTTGGGATATTAGATACTATTTCAAAAGAAAGTTGGGCTGATTTTATCATGTTAAAGCTGATTTTATCATGAGTGATAGGACTCAGGAATGATAACATTGAACAGTCACAAGCTCCCGAAGCAGGGTGCTCAGGCGGATATGTCCCACGTCACCTTGTCTTGGCGGTCCAGAGCACAGCCCTCCTGGATGAGCGCCGCAATGACATCTGTGTTCCCCACCACTGTGGCCCGGTGCAAGGCGGTCTGATCCCCCTGCAGAGTGACGTGGAGGCGGGAACATCAGTCAGCTCTCCCAGCCCTACCCTGCAGCACTCACTGCGCTACTCTGACACAGGGACATCTCCTGTCCTCAATCGGAGCAGACCGGCCACCATGCCAGGCAGAGCTCTTTTGTTCCCAAACTCAGTAGGAACCTTAAACCGACCACAGAACGACTTCAGAGCTGACATCAGAATGAGGGTCAGACACTCACCTGCCACCCCGAGGAATGGCAGTATTCAGAGATTATGACTGTCACATCTGGAAAGTGGGTCTGAGAGCTAGGCTGTGTGTGCTATGCAGTTAAACCAGCAATCTTTACTCCCTACTGAGTCCTCTAGTTGCCTGTTCTCTTTCAGAGGAATCACTATCCGGCTAAGTCAGCTAGCAACACTCAACGATTTGACGACGGGTGTATATTTGTTGATTGACTTATATGGGCTGAGGGCAATGTAGAGGTTTATGCCATGTCATCTGAGGACTCCAGGGACTATCACTGCATAAGTCTATGAAGCCTATTCTGATATTTCATGTCAGCATCCTCACTGATTTATGCTGCATTTTCTTTATGATCAGATGCTGGGGATTGCTGATCTTCTCATTCTCCATCAGGGCACCAAAGGGAACTTGACTCTTTCCCCTAGTTGCAATTGAGAGAAAGTAAGATGGTCAAGATAAGAGAGAGTTCTGAAGTCTCTAAGAGCACATCTCATCTCTGACATGTACTCAGGAAATCAAGTCGAAACAAATTAAGTCTAGCCTGGGATCCAAACTGAAATGGGGAGATAGGTGAGCAGTGTGGAAAACTTCTGGTAGGAAGGGAGAGGTGCAGGGCAAGGGGGACAGGAGATGTGAATCTTGCACAGTCTTGGGAGACACCTGTCATTTCACTGGGCCTCTGTTTCTTTACCTGTAAAGGAGGGGTGGATGCTCCCTAAGTTCTGTCCCTTCCCTTCTTGGGTTCTATGCTTTGGTTGGTAAGAGTTCTGCATAAAGATGTTCTGGTGGGGCACCAGAGGGGCAAACGACACACCCTGGCGCATCCCTCATCTTTAGCCCAAGAGAGGAAAAAGAGACTGTTATAAGACAAAAAATATGGAGATTTTTTTAAGGGGGATACACTGCTACCTATGAATCGCCTTAATGAAGTACTGATTCTACTTACTAAACATGCTGGAATCTAGAACAAACAACAATGCACATTAAAATCACTTAATCCAAACAGAAATTCTGGAGATGGATGGTCATAATGGTTGTTCAACAATGCAAATGTACTTAATGCCACTGAACTGTACAGTTAAAAATGGTTAAAAAAATGGTAAATTTTATGTTATATGCATTTTATCACAATAAACAATGCTATTTAAAACTCAAATTCACTTTCTTAAAATTAAAGAAAACAAAAAACCTCCCTTTAAAAATCCATGAGGGGAAGTGATTTTTATTTTCTTCCTTATATTTTTAAATAGTTTCCTACTTTTTATATTTAACAAATATAATCTTAGCCACAGGAAAAACTCCTATTTATTAAAAGTCTAAGCTGTAACAATATACCAATAATGGGATTGTCCACGTCTCAATCTTTTCTCACTGTTCATGTGTAGAATGTAAGGGATTTCCACAGTGATGGGTCAGCACATCCAGCTCCAGTATTATAATTGATTCACTGCCCACAGCATTTCTATCATGAATCCTCCCCGTTGGCATCATAAGCCATTGTTCCCATTAGACATTAGGTTTAGACTGGGTTTTCTCTTGTCCACCTTCCCAGAGACCCCTTACTCAAAGAGAACCCTTTCTGCACACCTGCAGTCACAAGAGGAATGTGGCCACTGGATGGGCGGGTGCAGGAGGCACGTCAAGCCATTACACATTCATCTCAAACATCCTAGGAAGTGTTTCCAGATGACATACACTATGTCCAAACAAGTCATCCTATGAGAAACTGCCCAAGTCTTAACTTTTAAAAATTTCTATAAGAATTCCCACGATTGCCATTTCCCCATTAGAATGGTGACAGGTTTTCCCAAAATGGGCCTGAAGTGCAATTTATGACCTGATGTGAAAGATGGCGCTCTGGTCTCGGCAAGAAGGGAAGACTGCAGCTCATTCTCTAGGGGTAAACACTGATGGGGCTTTAATTCCCACAGACTGCCAGCACTCAGAACAGCACTCCTTGGACTGATGACAACAACCCTGACACAGAACAGAACTTAACCACTCGATCTGTGTTGTGCACAAAGCCCGGAACTCATGGGTCGTGTTGGTCACTCTTCTGTCTGAGTCCTCGCATGAGGGGCCTTGGCTGGTTAGAGCACAGTCTAGCCTAAGCCTTGCTGCAGGTCAAGTGTTTTATCAGGTTTCACAAGCTACCCCTAAATCACGAGTTCAAGCAGCTTTGGAGCCAGAACATCACTATTATTTATTACTTGCTCTCGGCATGAATCATCTGTTTTTGCTTCCCTACAGAGGTCTTTTCCTTTGTGAAACTCTAGCTCAACGAAAGAAGCTAAATCTAACTTTTGGTTTAGCCTTTAAAAGTAAATTTCCAGACGGATTAACAAGACTCAAGGAGATCTAACAACCTGGTGAGACTACAGTGAGAACACAAACTGTCCTAAGCCACTGCGACAGGTGTCTCTTGCAGAGACCTTTTAGGGGCACTGCCTGTCTCCAGACCACCACTTCCCCTCCATCTTCACTGCCCTCAGAGGTCTCACTCCGAGCCCGGGTCCTGGCCTCCTCAGTCAGATAAACACTGCTGAGAAGGCCAACATCAGCCTTTCCCCACTGCAAGTGGCTGTCCTTGAGCCGTGCCATTAGCTTTGCGAACACTGAATGGGACAGTTCTAGAGGACTGAGGAAGACAATTTCTCTGGCTTATAAACACCAGCCACTCCAAAGTTACCAAGATGAGAGTTGAAGGCCACTCAGACATAAAACACATAAGCAAAGGGCCAGCCTGGGCTCTCTATCTCAGGGCTAATCTTCCCCAGAACACAACCCAATGGAGCACCTGAGACCCTCAACTGAAACAGGGCCAGTTACCTGGAAATCAACTTTCCCCCTATAAAATGTACTGTGGAAACATTTCCTCTTTTTATTTTTTTTTTTAATATTTATTTGACAGAGAGATAGAGAGCACAAGTAGTCAGACCGGCAGGCAGAGGGAGAGTGAGAAGCAGGCTCCCCGCTGAGTAGGGAGCCCGACACAGGGCTCGATCCCAGGACTCTGGGATCATGACCTGAGCCGAAGGCAGACACCCAACCAACTGAGCCACCCAGGCGCCCTGAAACATTTCCTCTTTGAAATAGGACACAGAAAACAACAAAATGTGTCCTCAATACATACGTATTAGCAGACCCAGGCAGCAACTTTGACATAATCCTTATTTCTGTATTATCTAAATACACCATGAAATTCTGAAACTTTGAAAAAAAAAATGCTGCAAAAGGTATGACACTCTTAACAGCATTCGATAGTTGTTTGTTCAGTAAGTATTTATTGACCCTCTACTATACTCCAAGTGGCATCTAATTCTCATTTTATTGATTAAAAAAAAACAACAACAGCTAAGGCTCAGTGCTGTTCAGTGCCTCGCCAAGGATAACCAGCTAATTCGGGGTAGTGTGGTTAGGCCCGAATTCAAACTGTCAAGGCTCTTTGCACTTAACTCCAAGCTGTTTCCACCCTGTGAAATCAATGAACCTCAGTCTGGCAGTCCTTAAAAAAGATCAGCTGCCTCTTGATGGCATCCCCTAGCTGAGTGCTTTAGCACAATGCCATGGCCACTACAGACACCCAAAAAGTATCTGTGGAATGATTAACTACAAAAATGCAAAAGGAAAAACACCGCAGCTGGAAACGCGGAGAGCCAGCCACCTTGCAGTTTGGCACTTTGGTTTGGAACATGCTGACCTGTTTGCAAAGTGCATGAACTGCCAAGCTCTCAATTTTTCTGACTTCAGTGTTTCTCACGTATGGAATCTAAGGAGTTTGGAACCTCTGAGGTCTCCATCTTTGTTGCGAAATACTTTTAGCGTTCTCTCCTACATGGTGAGAAAGAGTGGGCGCAATGCACGCGGATGCCGAAGCTAAGCTCATGGAAGAAACCCGAGTCCCGCTAAGGCGGAACACGTCCCTCTTCAGGAGGAATCTCTCCCAGGTGGCACAGACATGTTGCAAGGAAGCCCAACGGCGCAGGTGTGCAAAGCAAGTTGCTGACCTCTTTTTCTCTCTCTGATCTTCTAGGGTTCTTGCTAGCCTTTCTTCTCTGGTTTTTCTTATTTTTCTCTTCCTTTGTGGCTTTTATCATGGCCACGGGGTCCTGGACTATTTCTGAAGTAGGGGCCGTGTGGTTGCTCATGGACCAATCAGAGATGGCATCAGAGCTCCAATGTGAGTTGACAGGATTGGCCGGAAGCAAGAGGGAATTTTCTCTTGGAGTTTCATATTCTAAAGAACTGGTTTCCACAGGCTGAAATTCATAATAATCCCATTCCAGGCCACTGGAGGTCATTCTTCAACTAATTCTCAGTCCTTACCATGACATAAGGAATGTATCTGTAGAATATGAAGTTAGGAGTAAATTCTTCACAGCATTAACATTCTCTATTTCTACCCATCATCCAAGACAGGTAACTTCTGAACTGATTTTTTTCCAATAATTAACGTCCCAGCTTCTTTAAAAAAAACACCCATAGTTTTCTTCTTCGAATTCTTGCATAAATTTCAAAGCTGATCACCAACAGGCACAATAAATATGTAGAAGAGAGACATGAACAATATTCTGGCAAATGGATTGCTTCAGAACTAGTGAAGATCAATTCTACCTTCTCCTTTCTCAACCATTTTTACACTGTTTTGTTGCTGTGTTTTTGTTTTGTTTTTGTCTTGATTTAAGCTATCAGGGAGAAGCAATGTACACACTGTCTGATTAGGGCAAGAAAAAGATGCAAGAAAATACATTATTCCAATAAATGAAATGAAGGTGTTCCTGTCTGAAAGTAGCACTGAATTTCCTCCGGCTGACATGTCTCCCCTTGGCTACCCTGTGAAAATTCCTATATATTTTTTTTTTATTTGACAGAGAGAGACACAACGAGAGAGAGAACACAAGCAGGGGGAGTGGGAGGGGGAGAAGCAGGCTTCCCGCCGAGCGGCAAGCCCGATGCAGGGCTCGATCCCAGGACCCCGGGACCATGACCTGAGCCGAAGGCAGACGCTTAACGCCTGAGCCACCCAGGCGCCCCGAAAATTCCTATTTTACTTCCTACCTTGCCTGATATAAACTTCTAGGAAGTTAGCATGGCTTTTGCTGCATGAGAACACATGTGACTCTCAGAGCTCAAGACCGGAGGCAGGAGTTGGGTAGGAATGGGTTAACACGCCTGGCATGGTAGCCTTGCCAGAATGGCCAGTGAGGACTCTAAGGCAAAGAGAAGACCTGATGCATCCCAACATGTCTGTACCAGAAACCCAATGCTCTGCCTTTTCTGTGGTCAGAATCTCTTCTCTCTCTCCTTGTATGTTCATTCCTGTCATCTAAGGAGATGATATATAATCAGGAATGTTGTGAGAGTTACAGTGTGGGGAAAAAATATTATGACCCAAGGTAGAAATCAACAGCTAAAAGCTAAACCAGCATCTTTTGAAAGTAACATTTTTGATGACCCAACAGGTTCCAAATATAACCAGAGATTTACGAATGATACTGTTCAGCCTTCTGCCTGTACATAAAGTGATGACATTTAGCTATTTCTTTACAAATGCTGTCCATCTCACTTGTGTGTCTGCCAAGTTTTAGAACATTACACAGATGACTAAAGAAAATTAGAAGCCCTTTGGTAACCTACACCCTAGCACACCTGAGGGTCTGAAATTTGATTAACACTCTGTAACCACAGTTGTTAAAGGTGAGTCAGGAAGAGATTATGGTAAGTGCAAATTCTGTAAGATTTTGTGTTCCTCACAAAATTTCTTATTTCTTAGAGTCCTACCGCACAAATTAGAGTTGAAATTAGAAACAGTTTCTGAAATTAGCTTCCAATCACATTATCATAGGACTTTTTCCTAATAACTAATCGGAGGACAATTTACATAATCTTATCTATATCCTCTTAGAGAATTTACTTCCCCAAAGACCCAAGGCAACCCTGTGCGCTACGTGACATCACCCCAGCCACTGCTGATTGTCTCAGAAATGGATACTTGACTCCAAAGGAGCCAATCAGAGTCTTTCTCTAGATAATCTGAATGAAGAGACTCAGAGACTGAGTCTTAATAAAGGCACAGCACCAGAGGGAACTCTTTCAAGACTTCCTTTTTATTGGATTCTATGATATCAGTTGTTTTTTCTTTTGGACAGGTCCTCTTTAACTAAATGTACACTAAGAGAAATCAAGGTGAGAAGAGGAAAAAATTAAGTTTTTAAGCCCTACTTTTTTTCTAATGGTCAATGACACATTTCCAACAGGCCTTGCCCACACTCGGGTGTATGTGTATGTGGTGTGCTCCCTCACACTGAGACAGGACATAGGCAAAATACCCTTTGAGGCTCTACACTTGGATGATACTAGATAGGACATGAACCATGATGGGAAAACCACCCCACCCTTGCAAACTCTAGCTTGGTACCTAGAATGGATCCCAGGTCTTCAAGAGGAAGTTCTTCCCACCATGGGGACCAAGATGAAGCTAAAAAGTGCTAGGAGTGCATCTTTTACCCTCCCACATTATAGCAGGCTATACACTGTACTCTGGATTTCTAGGCAGACAAGCTCCCCTAACAACCCATCCCAATAGAATGTGGCTTCTACTCACATCATCCTGGACATCAAGGTCACAGCCAGCCTTCAGCAAGATCTGGACCACAGAAAGATGACCCTTATTGGCAGCAAGATGAAGGGGGGTCCGGCCATGCTGTTAATGCAAAGCAAACACTTATTTCAGAATAGGACATCAAAACCACTGCTCTGGGGGTGCCTGGGTGGCTGTCGGTTGAGCTCCTGACTCTTGGTGTCGGCTCAGATCATGATCTCAGGGTCGTGGGATTGGGCCCCGCGTCAGGCTCTGGGCTCAGCATCAAGTCTGTTTGAGATTCTCTCCCTTTCCCTCTGCCCCTCCCCTGCTCATGCACACACACACACTCTCTCTAAACAAATAAATAAATCTTTAAAAAAAAATAACCACTGCTCTGGAGGGAGTGGGGGCCTAGAGCAAGGTTTACATAGTGGAAGCCCCCTTCCCCTTCAGTTTGGCAGGAGATTCTTATATATTTACTCAGAATTCAAGTTTGTCTCAGCTAACCTTTGTTATTGGCATTGTGATAAATGAATAAAATATGCTAAAAATGTGAAGATTTCCATCAGTGCATAATTTCTACTCCCCACTCAACAAACAAGTAGGAATATGAGGGGTTTCATGTTTTCTCTTATTTTCCCCCTGGTGCTAATACTCAAGCATGATGGAGTGGTCACAGTGAATTGGGATAGGGCAAAAGATAGGAGAACAGTAAGAAGTCAAGCTAATCAGCCCAGAAAAATCTGGTTAGTAATTATTAAAAATTGAAACTACTGGCCAAACAGTTTTGAATAGGTTCTCCCTTTTTTATTTACTTATTTTTTATTTATTTATTTTGGCTCTCCCTTTTTTAAAACAAATTTTAAAATTACAACATACTTTAGCCATTCAAAAATATGAATAATATTTTAAATGTACATACCCACCAATCACTTTAAAACACCATAGATGTTCCTTGTGAACCCCTCCCAGATTTCATTTCCCTCCAGCTCCAGAGATAACCATTCTTAAATTTGGTATTCTTCATTCTTTTGCCATTTATTATATTTTACTACGCATTTATTGCTATAAATAATAACTAAACATTGTTTTGCTTACTTTAGAGCCTTACATAAATAGTATTAAACTTTTTATCACTTGGCAATTTTTTTGTCCAATGTTATAATTTTTAGATTTTTTTTTTCATATTGTCACATGTAGTTTCGGTTCACGTATTCATTATTCACACATTCTCTACTGATGGGCATCCAGGTTATTTTCGGTGGTTTGCAGAACACATTTGTGTGCACATCTCCCTGTGCATCTGAGGGGGCTTCGTAGCCCTATCGTTGGATCACAGAGATGACCATCCTTCAACAGCCCTATCTAATACACAGTCTCCTTGAGGTTATGACACGGGAGTAACATCCAGAATTACTCTCTTCGGTATAAATCAACTATCCGGAGAACTGACCTTGCCAAACTCCAAATTCCTCAAATTCTAAAGGAGACATTATGTTCCCTTTGCTTTCTCACTCAAGTTCACTGTGAAGAAATGTTCTCCCTCCTGCTTCAAAAATCATTTAGCCATGGCTCCCACCATGTTGAAACACACCCTCCGCATCTCATATGGGTCTCTTATTAAGGGAATAATAGTCTCTTAGGTCCTTCTAGCGCCTCAATAAGACTTTCCAAAGAGCTTTATTGATATTCTAGCAGGATACCCCCATTTATGATCTCCATAAAGTGTCAGTTTGCCATGGGTACCTAGCCGTGGAGGAAAACAGAGATAGCAGACAATAAAGGATCTTAATTTCTACCCATGAAATGCAATCAAAGCATTAGACTGATTCTGTAAAGAGGTCAGAGCTCACTTTAAAATTAGAATTCTTAATTAAGAAAAAGGTTACTCCCAAGAAGGTGGGCTATAAAAAGTCTTCCTAAAAAGGTAATGTCTAAGAGAAGATGGAGTGACCTTCCTTGGCTAGCACTTGTCTCAGGGCACATTGCTTAACCTTCATTCTTTCAGTGAAAGGTCCACAGCCGATCAGATGGAGCCAACTAAGCGGGTTCCGCTCCCTGGACCTGGTCCCAGGCTCCGTCTGTCATCACGTGTCCTTGTTGAGGACATCAGATAATGACCTTCACCAAGGTTCTAAGGCATTATGAAACACAGGGAAGTTTGTCATGTTTGTGAGGAGACAGATGAGTGTGCTGTTAGGAAGGCTGACAGGATGGTGGGACCCAAGTGCTTCTGAGCAACTGGAAAATATAAACCCTGATGGGGAGAAGTCACTGGAGAGAGCCTGGAAAGAGGACAAAGGACAAGGAGTCTCTGGGTGTCAGGTCAGGGGAGCCCGAGGAACATCCTCCTCAGCAACCAGATATGGCTGGTTGGACGTGGACACCCAAAGGAGGTAAAACGGTTTGCCCAAATGAACACAAATAATCAGAAGGCGGAAGGAAATGCTGCTGTGGTTTAAACCAGGTCACACCCGGGAGGGCGCTTTAAAAACTATAAATTACTGACAAGATGGGCCTGGACTAGAGGCACCTTCCCAATCCAAAGTCAGCAGAAAATCCCCTCTGTGGCGAAAGGGCAGGCTGGAGGCACTGGCGCCTGATAAGCCCAGTTCAAATCCCGGCTCTGACTAATAACACCGGTGTGACTTTGTGCACGACACTCTCCTAAGCCCATTTTCTCACCTATAAAAGAGGAATAGCCGCCACTATCCACCCCATAAAAGCTTGAAATAGGATAAATGAGGTAATATCCACCATCTAAGATGGGTTTTCCTTCCCTCCAGCTGTCCTAACCCCTCACCCCTGAAGATACCCCAACTGTTCCCTCTCTTCTTTGACACCCCTGCTCCTTTGCCTTAGCAAAGACCAGTGGGGTATTTTTAATGGCAAACAGACCTGGGTGAAGGGTTGGAAATCAGATCACTTGGATAGCCAGATGGGCTCCAGCTGAAGGGTCAAGGTTCCTACTGGCCAGTCCTTTTTTTTTTTAAGGGGGAGGGGCAGAGGGAGAAAGAGAATCTTAAGCACGCTCCACACTCAGCACGGAGCCTGACATAGGGCTCGATCTCATGACCCTGAGATCATGACCTGAGCTGAAATCAAGAGTTGGACATATAACTGACTGAGTCACCCAGGCGCCCCTCCTACCAGCCAGTTTTGATCCACTTGTCCACTTCCATTTGAAATATAGCCCATGGTTTCCAGTTTCTGCATCTCTGCTGGATGGGCATTCTTCCAGGGAATGCCCTTCTCCAAACTATGCCTTCTCTGATTCCCCAAGAAGCATTCCCTGGCTTATCTTCTCCGTTCCCACAGCACCTGAGCTTCCTCTTAGGAAACCACCACATTCTGTTTTGAGTGTCACCCTGGGCCCTGGCTTTTCCTTCCAACTGGGCCATGATCTGCCTGAGGGCAGGATTGTGCCTTCCATGAATGATGAAGCAAGGTGACTCTGGGGTGGAATGGGGCCATGTCAAAGAGGTGCCAGTGTTCCTCAACCACAGGCGGACTGAGGCTACCAGGGACACAGGGGCAAATTCCCAATTCCAGGCTTGACTTCAGAGAAACGGAGAGTCTAGGGGTCGCTGCAGACTCCAGGTTTTGGGATGCCCCAGCCCCTCAGAGGAAGTGTATACCTCTAGGGGCCGCATAAGTACTGCAGCAGGTGCAACAGTGACATGGGAAGGCTGCAATTCCTAAGTGTGAGGGCGCAAATAATAACTGACCCTAAGAGGGGCCTTTGAATGACTTAAGACTCCAGGATGCAACTGCTCTCATCTTCCTGCCCGTAGGACTGGCCAATGAAAGAAATGGGAAAAGGAGAAAAGACTGTCAACTATGAATGATAACAGGAAGAAATTTTTGAAGCATCCATTTGTCCTGGGACCTCCCCCAATTCAATGACTAGTTCAAGTTAACTCAGCCTGGGCCCTGGAGGGCTCAGGGAGACCACTAATAATAAGGACAAGAGGAAGAAACAGCCGCAGCTAACATTTATGGGATGCTTACTATGTGGTATCTTAAGGATTTTACATGTATTAGCTCATTCAATCCTCCCCACAACCCTATGAGGTAGGCACTATTTTTAAGATGAGGAATTTCCATTTTACAGATGACAAAACTGAGGCATGGAGGGACCCTGTCACTTTTTCTATGTCATAAAGCAAGTAATTTGAGCCTGGATTCACCCCGAAGCCATCTGATTCTGGCCCCCACGTTCTGACCCACAATTCTACCTGCTGCCCCCTTTCTGGCGGTGGTGGGGAGCTCTCTCCTGGCAGAGGGGTTTCATCTCTTACTGTTAGGAAGCTCCCAAGACTCCCAGATGATGACCTATGGAAATAACCTGGTTTCCTTAGAATCTCAAGGACAAGGATAGAGGTTTTCTATTCTCACCATACATTGAATCACTTGGGCAGGTTGGTCTGTTTGTCCATCCACCTATATTGACACTTGAGCCCCTCCACCAGAGTTTCTGACTCCACTCTCTGTTGTGGGGCCCAGGCATCTGTGGTTATACACCCTCCCTGAGTGATTCTAATGAGTGACCCAGGCTGAGAACCATAGGACAAGATGAAGAGGGGCCAGGATAATCCTCTCCAGGGAAGCTATAGGCCCTCAGGTGAAACCTGCCATGTCGGGCCTGTCCAAGCAAGAGTCATTCCTCTAGCTACATTCTTTATGATGCTCTCAACCCCACCTGTCAGTACAAAACACTAAAATACTGCACCACCACAGCCCAGAGTTTCTGCTTCTTAAAAGAGTATGTGAGCAATATAATGACATTTCTAAAAATCTGGAAAATAAAAAATCTGTAACTCTACCACCCAATACAACTATTATCATTTATTTTATTTATGAGAGAGAGAGAGCTCTCAAGCACAGAGGGGAGGGGGAGGGGAGGGGAGGAAGAGAGGGGTGGGGCAGCGGGACACAGAGGAAGAGGGAAAGAATCCCAAGCATGCTCCACATTGAGCAGGGAGCCCAATGAAGGGTGCAGTCTCATGAGCCTGAGATCATGACCTGAGCCAAAACCAAGAGTTGGATGCTTAAATGACTGAGCCACCCAGGTGCCCCACAACTATTATCATTTTAATCCAGTCTTTTTCAGTGCATCT